CCTCAAGAGTGAGAGCATATAGCTCAAGAAAATATCTCATTTCAGGATAGGCTCTTACTTTTATTTGCCTGGCAGAGCCTCAACAAGTCATATCCTGTTTGACACAGGCCTTTGGGAGAACAAGAGACATTTCAGAGACACAGTAGCATAATTATTAGTCTGTTTCTCTTAGCATAGTAGTTGGGTTGTAGTTGGTTGGCCTTCCCCTTATTCTGATTAGCTCGCAGCTACGATGTTTCCCCTGACAGCTCAGACCAACAAAGCACAGGTTTTCCTGTGTCTATCACTTACTTTACCAGCCAGCTAGCCGGTTCAGAACTTGGGTGTTCCCATGCATCCGAGAGCGATCCTGGGAGGAAGGAGTGCCCAACCTTGAGTAGACAAGAATTCCTGACAGTTCCCCTTTGTCACACTGTGCCAATGTTAGCCTAGTTGACTGGATCTTTTGTGCCCAAGCCAATGTTAACTTAATTGATTGGACAGTTTTTCATGCCAGTGTGAGTTTAAAAATCCCCGACAGTGGCCACTTGCAGAGGTATGGGAAAGTCCACTGGCAGGTGAATAAAGACTCCTGAGTTCTTAAGAGTCTGCCTCCAAAATCATTTTGGGGATAGAATCTGTTAACTCCAAACAGTTGGTCTAAGTCCTTGGGCCCCCTGCATTCATGTGGGAGACTGGGGAGAAGTTCTAGGCTCCTGATTTCTACCTGACCCAGCCCCAGCCATAGTGACCATCTAGGGAGTAAACCAGGGGATGGAGGATCTCTGAGCTCCCTCTCTGCAACTTTTTTTTTTCCAAATAAATAAAGTAAAAAAGAGTTCTCTAAACTACATTAAAAAGTAGATTCATGGGGACTGGTCATGCCCTGATTGTTGCAGCCTTTTGGGGGAAAAAGCAACAGTGAGTGGAAGATCTCCATCTCTCCCTACTCTGTCTTTCTGACAAAATTTTTAATTCTTAGTGAGACAAAAACCTGGAAAAATATTAGAATATGCCTTTGCCCATAACAACCAGATGCTTCCCATTAGTCAAGATCATATTGACAGTTTTTATTAGACTATCATCTTTATTAAACTGTCTTCCTCCATTATACATAATGGTTACCTCAAGCAAGTTTCCACATCTTTAAAAATGACTCAGACATTTCACAAGAATCCACTGCTTAAATCACATAACTTCAAGTCACTAAAACAAATTCCTGAAACTATGATAAGCTGGTCCAGGAAATCATCACCTTGTTTATAGTCACCAAATTTACTCTTTGTTTACAGTTATACCTGAATTCCTCATTTAACAAAAGTTGTCACTGAAGCAGTCCGGGAAACACCACCCCAAAACAATTGCTTTAGAACATTAAGTTGAAATTCCTGGGAAAACATCAATATGCAAGTCCAAGTTCCCATCCACTTATTTAAAGACAGAGTCACCAAAGTCACATTCCAAAAAATAATTCCTATCACAGGGATAGGGTAGGGAAGCAAAGCAGACCCGTACCCACTTCCAGGGATCCCTTCATCTCCCTTGAAACTAGAGCACAACTTCGCCCTCTCACCATTTTGTTCAGCTCAGCAAGGGACCCTCACCCTTGGTTAATCAGCCTTATTACTGCTCTAAACAGGTGTTGGCTGGGTTGATGAGCAGTGGCCACAAGGTAAGAAACAGACTGGCTGAGACAAAAATGCTCACAGGTTTTTGTCTCCAAAAGCTTATGGAAATACCTATTGTGAAAAAACTATGCATGAACTTCGATTTTTCACATTTTTTAAAATCAAAATATACTTACCTTTTAATTCCTAGTTCCATGAACATTTGTATAGATTCACACCTTTTAGCCTTCTACCATTGTATAAATACTCATAACTCAGTTGTAAATTAAACCTTCTTTGTGTGACCAGTGTAATTCCAGGTAAGATTCATCCATCTCTCAAAACAAACTACAAGATAGGTCCTGTTGTTCACCCACAGCAAGTGGACTGGTTTCAAATGAAGACGGTTTACAACATGGACTCAGTCAAGGTGACATCTGGCCCAGGAAGCCACCACAAGCACCCCTAAATGATCATAACATCATTATCGCACAAACCCCAAGATTACATGTTCTTACAGCATGAACTCACCCGGATGAATGCATCAATCTTCTAGCCATCCACCGTACCCACTGAAGGCAGTAAGGCACCTGAGGCTTGTCTATCTTAAAGGCCCGATGCGTGAGAGCTGGGCAGGGGCCGAAACTTGCCATTCCTGCTCCTACCGAATCCCTTTCAACGTAGGACACCTTAGCCATTGGACAGTACCTAGTCTATGCCAAAAAGAAGGTGCTCAACCTCAGCCCCAAAGCGAATTCATGAAGATGCGGAACTTAAGAAAGCTTACCCACAATTCCTGGGCCCAGCAAAGAGAGTGCGCCTGAGGGGTTCCGCTGATCTTCCTTTTAATCAGGTCTCCTTACCTCGTGCTGAGGGTGGAGCTCACCTGAGATCCAGCTCTGCCTGTCCAAAGGGAGAGCATCAGTGCTATCCGGGACAGCTGAGCAAAGACCACCAAACAAAAGCAATTCACACAGCACCCAGCATCAGAGCTGCTTCCAGCAATCCCACCCAACACAGAGAGCATTTGTCAAAGCGAGGTGTGGACATCGACTTCATTGGTTATAACTTAGTCCCAGCTCAGCTGGTTGCAGCGTAACTAAGTACTTTCATAGTTTAGTTCATTGGCTACAGCCAAAGCAAACAGCTCAAGCTCAGCAACTGTGACTAAACTCCACATTGGTTTGGTCTGCTGGGCCCCACACAGGTGCCCATGCCAAGTCTATGCTGACCCACAGTTTTAACAATACTACTTATATGAGAAACAAAAAACTCAATCACGCTTCTTAGTATGACTGCTCAAATTGATGTCCCTTTGCCAATATCTTTTCAGAGCCACCAGCGAGATGAGAACACAGCAGCTCCACACTGGGCAGTTGTCAGATCTGAGCCCAGCGTTGTCATTCTCCACTAACTGCACTTAGAGAAGTCAGTTGAGCCTACTGGTGTGGATAGAAGAGGCGGCAATAATCTCCCCCTCCTTCTTGCGTAGCTTTTTGCTTGGGCGTAGTCCTATGGATGCCCTTTTATGCTTTACAGCTGTTGCTGTGCACATCCAATGTGAAGCATCAGATAAAACCAGACTCATGAAGGGTCTCCTGATGCCATCAGAGAGGAACTGTGGCCCTTCGGTAAGGGCATGTCCTTGAAGGTGTTCCCTATTGGCAGCACGCAACAAGGGAGCCCACTGAGGCAGTCCCTCTAAGGCAGCCTCTGGGCTCAGAGGAGAAGGAAGGGAAGTCCACCCAAGGGGCTGCAGTAGGCACCCCCTTCCTTAGGGCCCACTGAGCTCCACCTCTTGGAGTTCGTCTCCTGGGCTGTCTCCTCCCAGGTGCACCAGGGTTGGTCTGTGTGACCAAAGCATGACAGCCATTATGAAATGTCACTTAACCAACCAGATTATAAAAGGCACCACAGCTTCCATTTCGGTAGCCTGTTGCAGGCAGCTTCCTAAGAGGGCCCCAGAACTCAAAGTACCCACAGCCTTGGCCGCTACCTCTTTTTGAATGTAGGCAGGACCAAGAGGCCCAATTCTACTGAATCCAGGAGCGCACCACCTCTGAGGCAGGACAAGGAAGTGTGTGGCTTTTACCTTTTTTTTTTTTTCTGCTGCTCTCTCGCTCTGAGGAAGTGAGCTGCTGTATGCGGAGAACCCACGCAGCAGGGTGAGGGGCTTGCCTGCTGTCAGGTGCTCCAGTGAAAGAGCTGCCTGGCCACGAGCTTAGGGAGTCTCAAGCAGGGCGAATTAGTCCCAGGTGACACCTTTAGATTGGCAGCCGTTGCAGACTCGAAGCCACGTGGAGAACAGGGTCCACCATGGTGTTGGAAGTGTGGGGTAGTACATTGCACCATCGGTAACCAATAAGGGCTTGTCTTCTCCCATCACTTGCTGTGACTGGCTGATGTCAGGAGCTGTTGACGTGGAGCCCAGCAGGCAAATGACCACCAGTGGAGGCTGGGAGCAGATATTCACCCAGCCAGGCCCTGAGCTGACTGCCATATCCGCCCGCAGCATGATTCATGGACCAAATCCCTGGTTGTTCCAAGCTGCTCAGGTGCGGGTAGTTCTTTTCAGCAATAGAGAGCTCACAAGCAAACAGAAGCCGAAAATGCCTACAAAATCCAGAGAAGCGTTCTCTGAACAAAGCATTCTGTATGAATAAAGGGGTTCATACTGTGGATGGGCCCTGAAAGTAGGGATGGAATTATTTTCAGGCCTTCTTTCATTAACAAAGAAATTATCCTTTGCCCTAATGACAAACTCTGGGATTCCTTTATGAGGGGGAACGCCCTTGTGTTTGGTAGCTGTTAGGGAAACTGAAGCTCGGGGTTAGTCAAGTTATCCCAAGGAACACAGTAAGAAGGCAGACCTAGAATTCCCTATCATGTTTGCTCCCAAAGCCCTAGTCCTGCACATAATATTGCCATGGTCTTCCTAACAGCGGTCTCTAAAAGTAGAAACATTTTCTCCACCATCTTTCATCCCCCGCTCATTGGGAGTGTGGGGGGGACGGGGAGGGGGCGGTCTCAATACGTTTGCAGCATTAATTTAAACAGTATTCCAGCCACTATGTATTTAGGACAAAATCCTTGGGGCTGGTCTCTAAGGGACTCAGGCGCACCTTACAATTGGAAACAGAACTGGATTCTCAAGGAAAAGTGGATACCGAAAGAGATGCTGAGCTCTTGCGCCCACTTCAGAACAGAAGAGCTCCGGAGAGGAAGCTGTCTCAGAGCTGGCCAGCATTCGGAGCGAGGCAAGACATCTGGTCCTTGACCGGAAGCTGCCTCTGCCCTAACTAAACATGGCGTCCTCGGCGCCACTCGCCCTGCTCTAGTAACCAATGGAGCCGCGACGCTCGGCTGAGTCACGGGTGCGACCTCGGCACAGCGCTGTCTGATGCAACGCCTCAGTGCTGGGAGCCTGCTGCGGAGCACGTTGGGGTGACCGGGAGGTCGTGGTGTTGTGGGTGATGTCCTTGGAGGTGGCCAGGGCGACCGCAGGGATGGTGCTAGGTGAGTGAGGCTCTGTGTACGGTGCCAGCAAAGTGGGCGCGCCTGGCATGAGGACGTGCTGGACTACGGCGGGGAGACGGAGGGACGGGACCAGCGGCCAGGCCTCTCCGGGGTTCGGGGTTCGGGGCCCGGGGCCCCGGGCGGGCCATCCTTGGCCCTGAGCACCCACAGAAAGTGTCGTGTCCGCTCTGGGGCTGGTCAGAGCGCAGCCGCAGACCAGAGGCGAATATATATATATATTTATACTTCAATATGCCGTCTGTGCACCTGCCTGCTTTGGTGTATTGGTTTCAGTTTTCAGATGGGAGTGGCTCTCCTTTCTTTATAGATGGGGAGATGTCCCGCCCCCCACGACCAAGAATCACTTGGCTCTTTAAGTACAACATCCAGTACTCCAACCGAGTTGGGCCAACTTCAGAGCCCTCGTTTTATTGTTGGGTGTTCAGGTAGACAGAAGCAGTAGCACAAATTTCAAAGGGGAAAAAAAAACTTAGTTTTCCAAAGCCTGGTGGTAATGGATATGTTCTTAGGAGAAGAGTGAGCTTGAAATAGGGGAGTGGGAAGATCCTCGCGGTGTCAGGTTTGATCTGTGGGCATTTTCACAAGTCAGAGCTTGTTCAGTTTACAAAGGGACTAAACGGGTCAGGTGGTCGTATGCTGGGAGGCCCACCGTTACTGGCCAGACAAGTGACTTACTCTTGTCCTGGGAGAACAGCAGAGCTGTATGTCTCGGACCGAGAGGGGAGCGACGCCACAGGAGATGGAAGCAAGGAGAAGCCGTTCAAAACAGGCCTCAAGGTAGGAGCTCTTGGAGCAGACAGAGCCTGCGCAAGTCCGTGGGCTTGCCTGTTACTGTTGGGCTGGTCAGCTAGCTTGGGAAGGGAATTTCCAGGAAAGGGAATGAATGCAGACAGATAGCCCTTAAGGCTTGTCTGCTTATTTGAACATGTGAACAAGGTGTCTTCTTTACATCAGGTTTCCAGGTCTGGTAAGATTGCAGAGCGCCTTTTCAGTGATGCTGAGCAATGGCCAGGTGACTCGTAGCAGGCCTCCTGCTGACTTGATGGCAGGCCACAGTGTGGTCCAGAGTGGGGGAGCTTCGGGGGTGTGACCTCTATGGGCTCTCCCTCACACAGCTGTGAGCCAAGCAGGCTCGTGACTCTGGAACTTGCCGCTGGAATCAGCTTATAAATGTGCTATGATTTGTCAGGACCTCAGATTCTCCCACGAGGTTAGCATGTTCCCCTAACTGATGTGGGAAACCAGGTACAGCTGCAGAGGGTTTCCTGGAGAGCCTGACCTCACTCCACGAGTGTCAGGTGGCTTGTTGCCTCAGATTAGGGTGAGGCCTAGCCCTCCGCAAGCAGCCATGGGCTTGCCTGATTAACCAGACTGCTGGGTCCCTGTTATGTCAATTCTCCTAACCTGGACACACTCACTCTTTGGAGTCATGCGTGTCCTACTTGGGCGTTGCTTTTTAATTCTTAGAAGGAAGACTTTCATTTCTCAGTTGGTTGGGCACCAGAGCTGGGCAATGGCTGTTTGGTCCTTCCAGTTCCAGTGGTGTCAGGAGGGATCAGAACAGGCTGTCCCAAAGTAAATGGTTTGAATGGAATACAAGTACAGGCACGCATCACTTAGCAACAGGGTTGTGATTTTAGAACTGTGTAACTTGCGATTTTGTCATTGTGGGAACTTCGCAGTGTCCTTAGAAACAAAGAGTTACAAGTCCCTGGGCAGTGTGATCATGCACATTGTGCCATGTGGACCGAAGCACCGTCAGGCAGTACATGGGTGTACACCTGTGTTGTCGAATCGCGGGTGACCAACTCTCAGATGTTCGCGGGTGAGCCTCACGCCTGCCTTCTCTATTAACTATTGAGTTGTGACTAAATGTTGCTTTAGGAAGGGTCAGTTTTTGCTAGCTTCAGATCCTGGGGCCAGAATAATAATTCATTGCATTTCTTGTTTGACCTAGGAATTCGGGGATAATTTTGCAAGAGTGCTTGTGGCAGTAACACAGTATTCACCTTTTATGTACTTCAACTATTGAAAAAGGAACATGGGCTGTGGGTTAGGAAGTGGTGGATAAATATCACTGCCTGATTGTCCCAGCATTGGCGAAAAGAGATCCTGTGCATGGGAGAATTTTTCACCAAGCATGAAGCCTAGCCTTTGATGTACTTGACCAATCTGCTGTTGAAAGAGAATCGATATCTTCGCTGCTTCCTTGGCTTTACATGTCATCCACAGTCAGTCAGCATTTGCTGGTGGCTGTCTCCTCAGTTGTTGTGTCTATGCTCGGGGCTGCATGATGGAACTTGCTGGAATTATTTGTGAAAACACTTGAAGGCTTCCAGCCGTGCTAGGGAGCACCCAGCCCACAGCCTGTCTACAGCCTTGGGAAATCATTTGGTCTGTTCCTATCCAGGCAAACTGCAGACTGGACTAAATTCACTAATTCTGTAGCAGGCTAATTTTTAAGTTGCGAATTTTGTGTGTTGTAAATATCCCGGTGGCCAAGGTTCCCCACTCACACCTGACAGAGCGAAGCTTTTCTTGGTGGCTTCAGCCACTCTTTACACATTGACTTTGGCTGTTGGGACTTCTGTGCGTTCTTCTTGGCTCTTGAATGTATTCTAGAGTGTTAAAGCTGCCCTCTCATTGATTTTTCATTTTTAAGTCTTGTGTAAAGTTGATTTGTTTTCTCTTTCGTTTCCTTACTCAAGGCCTTGCTGACAGTAGGAAAGGAACCGTTTCCTACCATTTATGTGGATTCACAAAAGGAAAATGAGGTAGGGTGAACCAGAAATTTTTATTTTGTTGGCAAATTTTCATCGAGACAGAAATCTTGAAGAAAAAATTTCTTTGTTTCTCTCTAGAGGTGGGATGTTATTTCTAAATCACAGATGAAGAACATTAGAAAAATGTGGCATAGGGAACAAATGAAGAACGAATCCCGGGAAAAGAAAGAGGTGAGCTGTGAGTTCGCCACTGTGGGCATTTTTGAAGGTAGAGCACTGGGAGCCATGCTAATGAATTACTTTATCCTGAATATCAGGCAGAAGATAACTTGAGAAGAGAAAAGAACCTAGAAGAGGCAAAGAAGATTATCATTAAAAATGATCCAAGTCTTCCAGAGCCGAAATGTGTACGTGTGTCAATTCTCATATTCTGGGCGTGGCTACATGGGCTCTTTTTCCTGGGTGTGAGGGCACATGTTTTACAGTGTCTGCCTTTACTGTCCTTGTGGTGGGGCCAGGAGTAAACCTTGACTGGCCTTGGGGGCCAGGTCTGGCTGTGCTGTGGGATGCTCAGGGGATTTTGTCCTCTCCAGGACCCATTCCTTCCCATACAAAAAGCACTTAGAATTGCATGTGCTTGGCTTCACTCTTCTTCCTTCTATTCTTTCTGGAACCCAGACAGATTGCTGAGCTATCAGTGTGTGTCGTCTGATGAGTCATTATACTTTCCCATTTTGCTAGTGATGGAATTGGGGTTTTTCACTGCCCCAACTATTGTTGTCTCTACTCATCTTTCTTTTTAGTGCCCCGTAGAAAGTGCTGGCCTTGGTTCTTTTTCATATCCTGGGGTGTTGAGGGGCCATAGGTCAGTGTGGACTGGGATTGTTACTTCAGAAAGCAGGTACTCCACTTGTGACACCTGAAGTCATTTATTTATTGATTTTCATTGCCAATTTTGCACAAAAAAAGCAATGACTTAAAGACTTAGATTGTTTTTTATTCAGGGCAGAGTGAACGCAGTCCCCCATTATCACAAATTATGCAGTCGAGTTTCCCACATTTGGGGAAATCACAGGGGTCAGTACATCCAGAGTGCAATGGATTTTTTTAAACCACTCCAGTATGATATGATGTGTGGTTTTGACCCACAGTAGAGTGATGCCCTTTAATTTTGCATGATTTATCATTTTTAACACTTTATTTTTGTCTGTCTAGTGTTTGTGAACATGTTGGTATGTGACAGATGACATAAATAATTGGTCAAATATTACTTGTTTTAATTTGACAGGTGAAGATTCATGCTTTGGAAGGATACAGAGGCCAAAGAGTAAAGGTGTTTGGTTGGGTCCATAGGCTGCGGAGGCAAGGTGAATGGGTATAGCTTTTCTTTTCTTAATTTTAAATACCCTTGGTCTTAGCTGAAGAAGAACACTTTTAAAATTGCTTAAGAGTAAATACGATTTTGGTATGCTGGCTTTTTAAAGGATATAGTGATTTATATACTAAATATGCTCTTATTTAACAGAACTGTTGAGTTGAATAATTACTTGAATACTGTTTTAACTGTTAACAGCTACAGTGATTAAGAGCTGTCCAGTACCACATTTAATTATTTAATAAAACATATTGTATTATATAAAGTTCAGATTCAAGTCTGGCATTTGACCACAGTTTGGTTTCTTCAATTTGTTTATTAAACATTTGTTTATTTGGAAGACAGGGAAACAGAGCGAGATTTTTCACCTGCTGAATCCTTCACTCCCCAAATGATCACAACATCTGGGGTTGGCCAAGGCAAAAGCCATGAGCCTGGAACTGCATCCAGATCTGCCGTCTGGTGGCAGGGGCCCAAGCACTTGGGCCATCTTCCTCTGCCATCTAAAGCATGTTAGCAGGGAGCTGGGGCTGAGGGGCCAGGATTCACATGGCATGCTGATAAGGAATGCTGGTGTTGCAAGTAACCCGCTGTGCCACCACATCGGCCCCTTGGATGTAGTTGTAGCTCTTTGTGTGTGTGCGTTCTACTTCTGTCTTGGTCCTGACATTTTGCTGTCTCTAATCGTATTACATGTGTGTTTTCTTGTAAGTGATTATGGAATCTTTCATTTAAGTCAACGTGTAAATAGGAAAAAGACTGCATTCAACAACCTTGCTGTATTTGCTGCTGTGTCCTGGCACTATACTGGACTTACCAGTGGATTTGAAGTGGATTAGATATAACCTCTTAACGCCTGTTGCTTCCTGTCTTTCCTTCCGCTGATTGTGTGCGTGATTGGTACTCTAAATAATCTGAAAGTGCAATGAAGAAAATGCTTTTCAAATTCTGAGTAGTCACATGAAGGGTACTTTGTAGAGAGAGGGCCAAATGGGAGGTTTGAACATTTAATGTTTAACCTTTTCCTGTATACAGTTTCCTGTATACAGTTAAAACTGCGAGAAGGACTCTGTAAGTGCCTGTGTGACTAAATTTCTGTTTCTCATTTTTCTTAGGAAAGAATTTAATGTTTCTGGTGTTACGGGATGGTACAGGTTATCTTCAATGTGTCTTGTCGGATGAGTTGGTAAATATTTCATTTATGGAGGAAAATTGGATTTATTTCACTAATATTTGAATTATAGCATAATAAAGCTAGGGGAAAAAACATGCATTGTGGAAATTTTCCAACACATGAAAAATCAGATGTGGCAAAAGAATACTCATGTGGCCATCACTGGGCTTCAGGAATTACTGGCATACAGGTTATTAATCTTGCTTATCATTCCCTTGCCCGAATTAGCTCAACACCTGAGTGTTGTCTAGTAGATTCTCCATGTCCTATTACTTAGCTGACGGGTTTGAATGAGGATCAAAATAAAATCCACCTGCTACGTTAGTTGACAACACTCTGAAGTTTATTTTGGTCTTTCACATTGCTTCCTCCCATTCCTTCTCTCCCATCTTCCCACCCACCTGCTGTTCATTTATTTAAAAAAATCTGGCCATTTGTATTGTGGGACTTCCCACATTCTGGATTTTGTTATTTATACGTATTTGAAATAAATAAATGTGTATGTGGCTAAATCTCTGGTACCGAGAGAAACTGCTCTTAAGGTAAGAATCAATGGCAGTCTTAATTCTTATTCAGGATTTGATTAGATAATTTATTTTTTTAAATACTGTTAGTTTACTCCCATAAGAATATTTGAATGTCAGTATGAATAACTGAATTTGGACATTGCTGTTTTGATAGTGTCAGTGCTACAACGGAGTGGTCTTGTCCACCGAGAGTAGCGTGGCCGTGTATGGGATGCTGAATCTGACCCCAAAAGGCAAGCAGGTAAGGGACTGACTTCCTTGCTGGTGAATGAACGGGCATTTCTTTCTTGGCTGATTTTCCACTGTCTGTGTACTTCTGGTGTTTCGCATATAAATATACAAATGTGTACCGCTTGTTACATTTTTTTAAGCTTTTTAACATTTCTAGGGACATACATACATGATACAACTTATCTTTTATTCTTTTCTGTAGCTGTAACACCAGAGATTCGGTAATGTATAAAGAAAAGAAGTTTATTTTTAGAGACTGTGAAGTCTAAGGTAAAGGGCTGCCTCTAATGAGGTCTTGGCTCCTGCATGGTTACAGGCGAGACAGATCCACAGGGCTCCTGGCTCCCACTCACTCCTGGGAGTATGGCGTGAATCCATTCATGAGGGTGGCTGACCTGGACACTTCCCGCGAGGGCCCGTATCCCGGCATGAGTTTTGGCAGAGACAGACATTCAAATGATAGCACGCCCAAAATCAAAAGACCTCAGGAATTTCTACCTTGACAGAATTCCTGGGTCATCCTCATGGGCTGTACTGTAGTTCCTTTGGTGTGAGTATTTGAATCACTTGTTAGTGAGGTGGAAATAAAAGCCAGCCACCAAAAAATTCCAAGACAGCGATCTAAACCTGAAACTTTCTGAGGAGTTTGAAAACTTCTTATAAACATAATAGACACAGGACCTGCAGTCGCACAGTTGGACCACCACTTGGAACCAACATGCCATGTTGCAGTACCTGTGACTGAGTCCTGCCTCCACTGTGTGTTTGATGGCCCAAGCCCTTGCCACCCACGTGGCAGATGCTGGTGAACCTCCTGGTTTTAGCCTCAACCATTTCCAGACATTGTGGGCATGTGGAGAGGAAATGAGAGCCCTCTGCCATTCTTGTCAAATATATGAATAAACCTTTAAAAATGACTAAATGTAACTACAGTAGGTTTATTTGAAAGGGAGAGACCATGAGAGAATTTTCCATTTTCTGATTCACCCTCAAATGACCACAAGAGCCAGGACTGAGCCAAGTTGGATGCACAAGTCTCCTACATGGATGGCTGGGGCCCACACACGTGGGCCATCCTCTGCTGCTTCCCTACACAATAGTAGGAAACTGGAAGTGGAGCAGCTGGGACACAAACTAGCATCCATACAGGTGCCAATGTTGCTGGCCATGGTTTTACCACTATGTGAAAATACTGGCCCCTGTAGTTAGCCAGGAGGCACTTAACCTACACCAATTAGAGCTAATTGTAACTGTTCAAGTAACCACTGTGATTCTGTTTACTATGAAAGTAAACAAAGGAATCCAACATGTAGCCACAAGAGGGAGCAAGTTAAAGTTCTAATCTGCTTGAAATATTGCTTGAAGAGTTAGTGTAAAAAATTAGTATCTCAGAGAGTACATTAATAGCTCTGAGAAATATTGTATTAAAAATTAGTATCAGTGAAAGTCACTGAGTGTAACTTGAAATTAGCATGCAAAATAGAGTGATGTTACTTGGTGTTTGGTACCAATATAATTATGTATTCCATGCAGTGTTTTTAAAATAGGTCACTTTTAATGGGTTAATATGGGAGGATGTGAATTTCTATTCCATGTATGTGTATTTCCAAAAAATAAATAACTTTTAGAAAAAGCTTTATATTTAAAAAGTTTTTCAGTGCAGATAGCTGTGTTAAGTTATTGTCTAGAAATAATGTGACTATTAAACAATTAGTAGTTAACTATTTGTGGGATTAACAATTGATTTTATTTTTATGTTTTAAAAGATGTATGGGTGTGTGTTTACTCTGGTTAGAAAATGTAGAAATTTTGATATGACATCGAACTGCTGTGTTGTTGTTTTTAGAGAGGTAGAACTAATAGCAACGAGATTTCTAGAAATTTCTCTTGACCAAACATGTTGACTTGCAGTCTCTGGGTCTGTTAACTCTTTGTTTCCTTCTGCCTCCCAATATTTCTTTCCCCTCACCTCACTTGAAAAATGTAGGCTCCAGGGGGCCACGAGCTGAGCTGTGACTTCTGGGAACTCATTGGGCTGGCCCCGGCTGGAGGAGCTGATAACTTGCTCAACGAGGAGTCTGACGTTGACGTCCAGCTCAACAACAGACACATGATGATCCGGGGAGAAAACATGTCCAAAATCCTGAAAGCACGCTCGGTGGTCACCAGGTGCTTCAGGGACCACTTCTTTGACAGGGGGTACTATGAAGTAAGTGTGTGTTGTCATCTCGTGCCAATGCTGCCCTTCTTGCCGCTTGAGCAGCGGCAGTCCCAGCGGCTTCTCCTTACTCTTCCCTTTGCATGTGGGCAGGTGACTCCTCCAACGTTAGTGCAGACACAGGTTGAAGGCGGCGCTACCCTCTTCAAGCTCGACTATTTTGGAGAAGAGGCGTTTTTGACTCAGTCCTCTCAGTTGTACCTGGAGACCTGCATCCCAGCCATGGGAGATGTTTTTTGCATTGCACAGTCATACAGGGCAGAACAATCCAGAACGCGAAGGCATCTGGCTGAGTATGGAATTGTCTTATTTTTGTTATTTTAATCATCTTTTCAATAAAGAATATTTATGTTGTTAAATGGTATCTTTACACAAAAATTTGATATATTTAAGAGGATAGTGGGAGAGTATGTTTTGTCTCTTAGATCATACCTGTTTTTCTGATCCTTTATATGTTGAGGAAATACTATAAAAAGGAAAAAGGGGAGTAAAAAAGTAAGAAAAGAGCTGGAAACTGGTGAACGGGATTGAGATGTTACCTTTCTGGACGATTTTCCAGTGTTTACATCTTGTGACAAACTAAGAGCAGAGCTCTGAGCTAGAGTCTGGTTCCTCAGGTACACTCACGTGGAAGCCGAGTGCCCCTTCCTGACCTTCGAGGACCTCCTGAACCGGCTGGAGGACTTGGTCTGTGATGTAGTGGACCGAGTCTTGAAGTCCCCCGCAGCAAGCATAGTGTACGACCTCAACCCGGTAGGTGGGACGCTTTGGAAGTTAAGCGTGATAATTCATTTTTGGAACAGACCATGAAATCTTAGTCCTCGACTTTTTTTTTTTTATAGATTTGATAGCTTATCAAGCTGATAAGTAATATATTGTGAAGACTAAAATTTTATATTGCCAATAATTTTGTAATATTTTAGCTTACATTTGAAGAGGTCTGTGTTTTGCAACTTAAGATTGTAGTAAAGAAAATGTAATCAGTCATCTAGTTTACTAACATATTTACTAGTGGTAAATCATTTTTTCTTGATGGAAATATGAGTGTCAGTGTTTGGCTTCTTTATATATGCTGTATTCTTCCTTTCTGTTGTAGAATTTTAAGCCCCCCAAGCGGCCTTTCAAGCGGATGAACTATTCAGATGCTATTGTGTGGCTGAAAGAACACAATATAAAGAAAGAAGATGGAACTTTCTATGAATTTGGGGAAGTACGTTTGTCTTTCTGATCACTGTTTCAGAGGTGGCATTGTGTTAAAGCTTGACTGCTTGCAGCCAGTGGACAAGGAACGCAGGCCTGTGTGCTGGTCCTCGGAGGAATGACCGTCGTAGCCCCTCAGGTCCCTTGGCAGGGTAGCCTGGCCTGTGAGCAGTGGCTCCTCTGTCGTGCCCAGTCGGCATCAGTGGGTTTGGCTTCTTTCTCTTACACCTTTGCCTGGTTCTGCTTTTGTGATGCTTCGTGGGCCCTGACGGTGAAGGTCCTTTCGTCTGCAGGGCTGATTGAGAAGATGGGGAAACAGTTCTAGGTGAAGGACCAGGTCATTCCCTACCACCCCCTTCCACCTTGAAATGGTGATTTAGAACTCCATCATGGGAAAGGCTATTGAGAGCTGATATGCATTGGGTGAAGTGCAAAACCAAGAGGAAGCCTAGATGAAGGTGCTGTCAGCTGGTTGGCTGTGCCTGGGATCCACCTGCCCCCACGCACTGGGGTAGAGATTGGTGCCATAGTTCTAGGCCCTCTCTCCTATGTGTCTATCCATTCCTTATGTAAAATTTGCATATCTAATTGTTTTATAGAAGAAATGTGGGTAGCTGCTGCGTAATTCAGAGAAGACAGCAATACATCAGGTCTGCTTAAATCATTTACAATGTTTGGGTATAGAAACAGGATTTTGTCTTGAAAATGAGTACTTTGCGCAAGTGTTTTGCAAGAGGAGTGTGACTGAGTGGGAAGAACAGGAACTGTAGAGTTGGAATTCCCTGTTCCCTCTGGCCTCCAGCTCCCACCCATGCCATGACCAATTGTACCTTGACCAAAGGGCCAAGACGCAGCTCCCTGGCTCCTTATCTCTGCCTTGCCAATCAGCTTCTAGTATTTGGCAGCATTGTAGGGACTTAATGAGTCAAGTGTCTGATGCGCCTGTGGCTCAGGAAGCCCAATGGCTGTGTTAGCACGCCTGTTCATTGTGGTTCTCCCAGAGCCTGTCACTGCTTTTCGGGCTTCACAGGGTGTGCCCTAAGACTCCTTTTAAAGCTCAGGCACAGTTCTGGTGTCTCAAGCGATCAGAGCACAAGCCGAGTCCAGTCCTCTCCCACTTACTGCTATTTCTTGTCTCCATCTCTGAGGGCCCAGGCTCTAGCACCAGGCTCCCAGGCCAGGGCTAGAAGGCAGCCACGCCACGAGATAGCTCAGCTCCGTGTCAGTCCATACATGACACCAGTCACTGAGTTTTGGCTGGTTCTCACCATCAGTTTTACCAGGACAAGAGTTTAGTTTTAACTTGAGTTTATGTGTGGTTTACTGAAAACGGCTTTGGGAAAGAACCTGATTAACTTGATTTATTGTCATCCAGCGTGCAGTTGGTAACTGCTCCAGTGTGGGCATACTTCTGAGTATGGCATGGGTTATTGGTTTTACAACTGTCTTACTAGCAGTGAAGGCATAATTGAATTATTACAGCAGAGAAGAAGTACAGGTAACAAGAGAGTCTAAAGATCAGTGTGATTAATAACACACCATATGTATGCTAGTGATGTTCTGGAGTGTTCCCCAGTAACCTGCTTAAGGAACTAAGTGGCCCACATTCACTTTGGGCCACTGGAAAACAGCTACATGGGATTTTGTCACAGCTGGGGTGAACTGGGGTTTTCTCTTTCCCTTCCTCAAAGAGCTTGAACTGTTCTGTAGAAGGGAAGATTTTTTTTTTAAAGATTTATTTATTTAATGGAAAGTCAGATATACAGAGAGGAGGAAAGGAAGATCTTCTGTCCGATGATTCATTCCCCAAGTAAGCGCAGTGGCTGATGCTACGCTGATCCTAGCCAGGATCCAGGAACTTCTTCCAGGTCTCCCACATGGGTGCAGGGTCCCAAGGCTTTGGGCCGTCCTCGACTGCATTCCCAGGCCACAAGCAGGGAGCTGGATGGGAAGTGGGGCTGCCGGGATTAGAACTGGCAGCCCATATGGGATCCTGGCGCATTCAAGGCGAGGACTTTAGCTGCTAGGCCACGGCGCTGGGCCCTAGAAGAGAAGATCTTTTAACAGTTAATTATACAGCCATGTTTGTTTGTTTTTTAAATACAGAGACTTTTTTTTTTTGAAGAAATGGTTCCTTACACAAATGCATATAGGTTATGGATAGGGGTATATTGGTGTGTGGTGAATGAGCTACTTTTGTCTTGTTGCATTTTGAGCTGCACATGTTAATGAAGTCTCATTTGTCCCCCAGGATATCCCAGAAGCTCCTGAGAGACTGATGACAGATACCATTAATGAGCCAATCTTGCTGTGTCGGTTTCCCGTGGAGATCAAGTCCTTCTATATGCAGCGATGTCCAGAGGACCCCCGCCTCACGGAATCTGTCAGTTCTGATACAATAGTAGTAATTTTACTTTTTTAAAGGACTGGGGACTGTTTTTTACAATTAGCTGTGGCTCTTGGCAAAATAATGTTTAATATTCAGTGTAAAATGACAGAATGTGAAGAAGTAGGATTTCTCATCCCCTGATAAGGGTTGGTGTGCTTTGTTAACTGAGAGAATTTGGTTAGTGTTGAAATTTTGGATAATGTTTTACTGTGGGAGCTTGATGTGTTCTGCATTTCTTCTGTAGAGGACTGCCATGTCTGACACCTGGTATTAACTGTGTGTCTTCATTTTGGCTTGTGTTTCAAGGTGGACGTGTTGATGCCCAATGTTGGTGAGATTGTGGGAGGCTCAATGCGTATCTGGGATAGTGAAGAAATGCTGGCAGGTTATAAGAGGGAAGGGATTGACCCCGCTCCCTATTACTGGTACACAGATCAGGTAAACAATTGTTTTTTAAACATTTCCCAAATTTTCTTTATTGAAATATTTGTCTGTACATTGAGCTTTTGTGAAAGAGGGAATTGGAGGCGGTCCTTGGTGGTTGGACAGTATTCCGTTTCCTGCTTGGGGTTGCGGCATGTGGTTCTGCCCAGTTTTGTCTTGGCTGAGAGATGCGTTCAGTTCACTTGTAAACCTCAACTGCTGACGTGGCTTATGGCTCCCAGGTTTTTAGGAAAGTCACTGAAGCATACCAGTGCCTGGTATTATGCTTCATTTTTCTCTGAAAAATAGGTTGTTGGTTCTTGGAGCCCCCACAGAGTTAGAAGTGTAATTCTTAGCCATAATGAGTTAGCACTCCTTTCATGGCAGGATACTTTAAGTTAAATGAAATCTTATGCTAGGCCTTTATTCCTCCTTGCTTTTGTCTTAACAGAGAAAATACGGCACGTGTCCTCATGGAGGCTACGGCTTGGGCTTGGAGCGGTTCTTAACCTGGATTCTGAATCGGTACCACATCCGAGACGTGTGCTTATACCCTCGGTTTGTCCAGCGCTGCAGGCCATAGCCGATGCCTCCTGAATCACAAAGGGAAGGAAACCATCCATGGAAGGAAGAGACTGCCTCCTGAAAAAAGCTAAATCATCCCTCTTTTGTTGCGTTACCTATTTGTCTTTTTGTTTTTTATTTCTCCTACCATATAGAAAGCAATCTGTGTTTCTTGAACTTGAGCGACATTGATATAATTTTAAGAAAATATTCATTGCAAAATTTGGGAGAAACATGTGGCATGTAACTAGTTTATTGATATGTTTCAACATTTTATTCAGTTACAGGTTATAATTGTTATGTTAATGAATGTGTAGCAGATATAAAATTAAAACAGTTTTTAATTATGGTTTAAGACATTCCAGTAACTTAATGCTTCTGTCCTCTTAAGGGTAACTGGAATTTAATTTCTGTTACTTAATAGTATCAGTGAGTTACAGCAAACATCCTGTGAGAAAATTAGTGATGCGGCATAAAACTCTAACATTAGATCAGGTGTAGCTGAACAGTAGAGGTGGAATCCAATCAAGATAGCTGTTATATAGCTGCTTATAATCCTGAGGCCTGTGAATTGATATGGAAGAAATTGTAAAAAATGGAACTGCTGGAAGAATGTGAGGTGAGAACAGCATGGGGAAGGTGTGCGTTCGGCCGACTCCCAGCCTCCCTGTGAGCCGAGCGGCCAGCTGGATCCCTGTCTGCGATTCCCAGCTGGTTAGGATGAAGTCGCTTGCCTCTGAGTGTGACTCAGCGCTCTGTGACTGGCCGAGTCCCCGCCGTGTCTCAGGTGTGCTCAGTGCCACCTTAGGAACCGCAGCAGCCTTTGGGGTGACTTTGCTTCCAATTTGGTTAATTCCATGCCCTCTGCCCCACCCTGGTTCCCCAGACGCATGCATGTATTCTCAATGGACTGTATTCCCAGCAATCAATAAATGGACACATGCAAAAACTCTTTGCTGGCTGAAATTTTTCAGGTGGGATGGTTAGTGTCTCAATAGTCAGAACTTTTACATTTCTTAAATCTGTTTCCTTTTACATGAAGTAGATACTTAAAGTTAGATATTACTGGTGTTTCAGAAGTTGCATGGTAGTGAAAAGAAATGCATTTTTAAGATATACATATGTGGATTTTTTTTTTGGTGTGTTATTTCTGAATACCTTAGATTTTGTTCTACTTTGTAATCAAGAGCAATGACAGAAGGAAATGGGGCATCTTTAAATAGGAAAATAGAGCTCAGCATGGTAGCATAATGGCTAAAGTCCTTGCCTTGCACATGCCAGGATCTCATATGAATGCCAGTTTGTGTCCTGGCTGTTCCACTTCCCTTCCAGCTCCCTGCTTGTGGCCTGGGAAAGCAGTTGAGGTTGGCCCAGGGCCTTGGGACCTGCACCCATGTGGGAGACCCGGAAGAAGCTCCTGTCCTGGCTAGGATCGGCGCAGCTCCAGCCATTGCGGCCGCTTGGGGAGTGAACCACCGAACAGGAGATCTTCCTCTCTGTCTCCTCCTCTCTGTATCTTCCTTTCCAATAAAAATAAACCTTTGTCAGACTGACTGTTTTGTCAGACTGCCATTTCATTGCCCTGAGCCAGTGCGTGATTCGTGTCTGACAAAGTGGTTCTCCTAGGCTGGCACTGTGGCATAGCAGGCTGATAGATGGGTACCGGTTTGTGTCCTGGTTGCTCTACTTTCCATCCAACTCCCTGCTTATGGCCTGGCAAAGCAGTGGGTGATGGCTCAAGTCCTTAGGCACCTGTACTCATGTTAGGGAGGCTGGGAAGAAGTTCCTGACTCCTTATTCAGATCAGCCCATCTCCAGCTGTTGCAGCCATCCGGGGAGTGAATGTAGGTGGGAGACCACTCCATCTTTCTATACCCGTGCTTTTCAAATAAAAATAAGGTTGTTTTTTTTTTAAGATTCTTTACACACAGGAGTGTTTATTTCATAAGCTGATGAGCTACTTGAGGGTGCATATTTTCCTGAAGTGTGCTGTGATGCTTTGCTCACAGACACTCGGTGAGTGCATGACTGGAGTGACCAGCTCATGATCATGGAAGCTGAAGGCACATCACGCGGGCCTGCACTTGGTGGCCTGTGTTGTGAAACAGTCGTGAGGACAATGGATCAGATTTCTCTGAGTAGTCTTCATAGCTCACCACTTGTCACACGCAACTACCGTTTTTCTTACATTGAACATGCCTGCCCCTTCCACCCCCTGCTTATTTTTCTGATTAAGGAGACGGAGTGGTAATCGAAATTTAGTTTTTGTGGCTCAGAGTTGCCAATCAGCAACTAACAAACAAGGGCAAACACATCCCCTACCTTCCCTGAAGCACTGAGCCGCAACCAACAATCCATTTTGTTTAGGATTCTCAGCAGCCCTGGCTGCGCTGTGACAGGCGAATGCTGTCCTCGCTGAGTCTCGCAGGCACACAGGCCACCCCCGGGGCTGCAGTGGTGCTTGCAGCCCGCCAGGCACTGTGCCTTTTAAGTTTCTGTTTGCTAATGGAATTGGCACATGTTGTTTTCAAAGTCAGAAAATGCAGTCAACAATGAGAGTGGTTCCAGAAGTTTGTGAAAAATGGAATTTGAAATGCATTTGGGGTGGGTTTGTGGAATCAGAATGTCTGGTTCAAGTTGTGGCTGCACTTCCAACGCATGCCCTGGGAAGCAGCAGGTGAAGGGCCCGATCTCTGGGCCTAGGCGCCCACATGGGAGAAAGGATGGGGCTGCTGGCCTCAGCCTGGCCAGGTGCTGGCTGATCCGGCTCCCTGGGAATGAGCCCCTGGATGGAGAGTTCTTTCTCTTGCTCTCTTTCAAGTAAATTGAAAATAAGATGAAAAAATTCAAAATATTTTGATGCACACATTTGGAGATCTATCTTGAAAATGTTGGTGGAAAATGCATATTATAGACTTCGAAGAATTTTTACATGAAATAACTTCTCTCCCTCTCCTCCATGTATCTAGATTAAGCTAGGTCCAGGAGCCCAGGCTCCCTGTCTCCCCCCAACCCAACAGGTATTAGGAACTGCAATGCTGGAGCTGTTTCCCTGGCACGTCAGCAGAAGCTGGACTGGAAGCAGGACACCAGGACTCCAAGCAGGCACTCTAATACGAGATTTGGGGGCCGGGGGCGGGAGGAGGCATCCCAGTAAAGATGGCTTAATTCACTGGGCCACAGTGTCTCCCCCAAACCCTACCTTTGATTCTGTCTTCTCATGAGCCTTTTGCAATAAGTACACTTGTATACGAATCTGTCTTTCACATATTTTTTAGGTTTTCAAGGACTTTTCAAGTCTTATCTATTGTCAGACAGATACTTGTTGGGAGACTAGTCTGTTTGATGTGTGTAATAGAGAAGCAATAGACAAGAAATAGCAATTAATATGATATTGTCTGTTGGGGAAAAAATACAAAATTCTGTTTTCAGTTCTGAGTCCTGCGTGCTTTAGGAAGCCTCAGACTCAAGAATTTTGAATGGATTTTAAAAGGATAATAAAAAGGAACACATCTGCTGTGAATAAAAAGAATGAAATGGTGTTGAGTGGCCTTTAAAAAGATATGATGTTGATGGGCCTGGTGTGAGCCTAGTGGCTGAAGTCCTTGCCTTGCAGGTGCCAAGATCCCATATGGGCACCAATTCCTGTCCCATCTGCTCCATTTCCCTTCCAGTATCATGCCTGTGGCCTGGGAAAGCAGTCGAGGACGGCCCAAAGCCTTGGGCCCCTGCACACACCAGGGAGACCCGGAGGAGGCTCCAGGCTTGTGGCTTTGGATCGGCTCAGCTCAGCTCTGGTCATTGAAGCCACCTGGAGAGTACCAGCAGGTGGAAGATCTTTCTGTCTCTACTTCTCTCTGTAAACCTGAATTTCCAATTAAAAAAAAAAAGAAATCTTTAAAAAATCATCTGAAAGATGTTGATATAGTTAATAAAGCATGTTTGGCTTGTTGTAAGGGTTGACTTTGACGTGTTTGCCTTATCAATAATCATTAGCCTTTCCCTGGGCAGGGCCAGAAGTCCCGGTTATCTCCTCCTTGCAGGAAGGCCTAACAGCCGGAGGGCGAAGAGGACCCAGAAGGCCCACGGGTCTCACAGGCCAGGGCCCCCGGCTGCTACACCCCCTAGAGCCCACAGGTCTCAAAAGCAAGGGCTCCCAGCTGCTGCACCCCCTAGAGCCCACGGGTCTCACAGGCCAGGGCCCCCGGCTGCTGCACCCCCTAGAGCCCACAGGTCTCACAGGCCAGGGCCCCCGGCTGCTGCACCCCCTAGAGCCCACAGGTCTCACAGGCCAGGGCCCCCCGGCTGCTGCACCCCCTAGAGCCCAGGGGTCTCACAGGCCAGGCCCCCCCCCCCCCCCCCCCCCCCGCTGCTGCACCCCCTAGAGCCCACAGGTCTCAAAAGCAAGGGCTCCCAGCTGCTGCACCCCCTAGAGCCCACAGGTCTCAAAAGCAAGGGCTCCCCGGCTGCTGCACCCCTAGAGCCCAGGGGCCTCACAGGCCAGGGCCCCCCGGCTGCTGCACCCCCTAGAGCCCACAGGTCTCAAAAGCAAGGGCTCCCCGGCTGCTGTACCCCCTAGCCCTGGCTGCATTTTTGCTAACACAGCATTACATAAGCTACAGCTTTTCCATTTCATGTTCAGGCTTTAGGTAAAGAAGTACATTGTCCTTAAAAGATAATCCTTTACATATAATCTTCGTTGTAATATAAAATGAGTAAAATGCTAGGTGGTTTGATACCTGGAGCAATAGTTTTCCCGTGGCTTGAATTATAATGAGGTAGGGTGTATGAAAGGCAATCCAATTAATCTAACTTAATCTGACATTTTATATTGGGTTTATAGCCTCTGATGGTAGCGGTGGAGGGGTCAGTGGCTGACCCCAGCCTGGCCAGGCTCTCGGCCCGGGGGGTCCTGGGGACCACAAGCCCCTCACCCCGGGCGGGGACAGCGTGCCGGGGGCGGGCTCTCCGCGAGGGGCGTGTCCCGGCCCTGCCCCGCAGCCAATGAGCCGGGGAGCGCGGGGCGAGGGCCGGGGCGGCGGCAGGGAGTCCGCGGGGATCCCTCGGCGGCTTCGGCATTGGCTCGGCCGGTGCCTCCGCTCGCCGCCGCCAGGACCGCAGGCCCGGGCCGAAGCTGCCCCGGAAATGCTTCCAGCCGGCGCCAACATGGCAGCGGCCCTGCGAGGCGCGGGCGCCCTGTTCCGCTGTCCGTGTAAGTGTGGCCGCCGCCGAGGCCGGACCCCTCCTTGGCCTGCCGCTTCCGGGAGAGGCGATGGGCTGCTCGGTCCTGGAATGGGCCCTCCCCGGGAGGCTCGCTGCGAGCGCGTACGCCTGCGGGCCCCGAGCAGCCGCAGGCAGGGAGAGCCCTGCAGTAACTAGATGGTCGGGGAGACCGAGGGAAGGCCAAGGGGAGGCCCCTAACGCAGTCACGGCCCACCCACCACCGAGGCCCTCTGCCCGTGTTGGTGACAGCGCACCTGCGCAGCGCTAGCCCGTGGCATCACTTGGGCAGCAGGGCTGTCGTTTGCTGGAGGTACTGGTAGGGCGAACAGCCTCTGATGCCCGCTGTGAATTGGGTGGGTTGGGCCTGTGAGGTGAGCTGAGGCTCGTCTGAATCAGACACACCTGGCTGGGGCGGCCTTCCCAGCGGGGAACACCTGAGCGCCCAGTGACGCTGGTGCACTTTGGGGTGGGGGGGAGTGAAAACCTCCCCAGCCTTGCCATGGAGCTGCCAGGGTCTGGTGCAGTGTCACACAGTGTTCACAGTGTTGCTAAGGGAACAGCGGTCGCAAATAAGGTGCAGTAACTTTTGGGACTTTGGGTAAACACGGATCTGAGTTTGTTTTCCAAGTTGCCTCGCTCATCGATCTGGCACCTGCGTCCAGGGGGTGAAGGGCATCCACTATGAACGCACCTTATTACATAACATTACATAACATTACAGCTTATTTCTAACGTTATCTTGTGTTAGAAAAGGAGTAAGGGCCTGCGAACACCGAGGGTGGGCTCGTTAAGGCGCTGGGAAGCCAAGGGTGTTGTCTTGAGAAGGAAGACAGAGTCTGCAAGGAAGGACTGAGTCATTGTTTTCTTTCATTCTGATTTCTAGGTCTAATTGCAATGCTTTAGAAATTTTGGTTGGTAGGAAAAAGTTCTAAAGGACTTACTTAATTGAAATTCAGAGTTACTCAGAGCAAGAGGGAGGGAGACATTCCATCCACTGGTTTGTCCCTTGTCCCCCCATGGCCATAACAGTCAGTGCTGGATGAGTTCAAAACCAGGCACCAGCAGCTTTTTCTGGGTCTCCCATATTGGTCCAGGAGGCCAAGGCCATGGGCCATCCTCTCCCACCTTTTAAGGCCAGCAGCACTGAGGTGAATCAGAAATGGATCAGCTGAGAGAGGAACCAGCTGCCCTGTGGGGTGCTGGCTTGCAGGCTAAGGATTAGTGTGCACGGCCCCCCAGATGAATTTTCTTTGAATTCCATTGTCCACTAACTTTTGAAGCTCCTCTGCATATAGGACCTGTTGCTTTTTTTGGTAACTTTTTCTTCTGAAAATTTGTATTGATAATGTTTTTGATAAAGAGAAAAAATTCTAGGCTACTAAAATTCTAGGCTACTGCTTTCCCAAGCTACAAGCAGGGAGCTGGGTGGGAAGTAAAGGAGCCAGGATTTGAACCAGCACCCACATGGGATGCTCGTGCTACAGACAGATTAACTTACTACACCATTATGCTAGCCCCAGGCTTAATTTTTTTTTTTTAATTGGAAAGTCTGATATACATAGAGGAGGAGAGACAGAGAGGAAGATCTTCTGTCCGATGATTCACTCCCCAAGTGACTGCAATGACCAGTGCTGCGTCAATCCGAAGCCAGGAGCCAGGAACTTTTTTAGGTCCCCCACGCAGCTGCTGGGTCCCAAGGCTTTGGGCCATCCTTGACTGCTTTCCCAGGCCACAAGCAGGGAGCTGGATGGGAAGTGGGGCTGCTGGGATTAGAACCAGCGCCCATATGGGATCCTGGCGCATTCAGGGTGAGGGCTTTAGCTGCTAGGCCTCTGCCCCCTAGCCCCCCAGGCTTAATTCTTAAGTTGGCTAGTTTGTGCTCTTGGGCCTTCTTAACCTCTTTGCTTAACCTCATGCAGTGTGTGCACACCAGCATGTATGCTTGTGGCTGGATGTAGGTTTCTCCTCCCCCACCCTATACTTGTCACAGCAACCCTGCAAGGTGGGGCTTATCTTCCCTTTACAGATGAGAAAAGGGAGACTCGTGGTGGCCCAGTGTGGTGGCCCAGTGTGTTGCCCAAGCACAGCCAGCTGGCTTGTGCGTCCCCTGTGGGGTTTCTGCTGGGATCTCTGGCTGTGGAACCCACACCGTCTTTGCTCTGCTGTGCTGCCTGCACCTGCTGAGTCTCGTGGAGTGGGAGTGGGGTCTCTGCAGGGGTTTCAGCTGATCCTTGGAGTGACCCTGGCAGTCACTGATCCTTTGGGAGAAGACATTCTCTATCTAGACCCTTAAGCCCTTTGGAGGAGGGCACCGAGATGGCCAGAGGGCTGGACGTGTTCACACTGACCTCTGACTGGAAAGGATCCCCTTGCTAGTGGCATCCTGCTTCTCGCTGACCACAGTGATCAGAATGTTCTAAGGGGAGGGCATAGTGACAGTTTAAGTGGCTCGGAAATTGTTACAGGAAATCCCGACATTCTCATTGGAAGGCCCAGTCCCACCCCATCTTCTTCCTTTATTTCCCTTCGTTTTTTCTTTTTTAGATTCCCAGAAGGGAATCTCATTAGCAACAAGCAAATTGTGGAATGTCTAAGTTTTCTTCTCATGCCTCATGGAATCCAGTGTAGTCTCATTCATACCTGGGGACATTGCAGACCGACAACAACCTGGTGAAATCTCAGCATGTAGTTCAGAATTACACTTGTTGAAGATAAAAGAAGCTTGTTGACTTGAGACTTCATTCAAGTGGAATTGAACTTCCTGATGTCAGTGTCTGCATGTGTGTTCTGAGCTAGTAAGGATTGCTCAGCGCAGTCTTATGTAATTAGCTCTGTTGGGAATGTACCCCCTCTGGAAAGCTGGAAATGAGGTGACAGGTGCCCTTGCTATACTTTAGAAAGTTCCAAATGAAATGAGTGCTGGTGTACATTATGGGGCAGACACTGGTCTCCCCTTATCTTACCCTCACATGAGTTCCAGCGGCAAGGTATCACCATTTCATTTACTTTTAAGATTTATTTATTCTTATTGGAAAGGCAGATTGATGGAGAGAAGGAGAGACACAGAGAAAAATCTTCCATTCTCTGATTCACTCTGCAAGTAGCCACAATGGCTGGAGCTGAGCTGATTAAAAGCCAGGAGCTTCTTCGAGATATTTTACTCAGAGGCAGGGTCCCCTGGCATGGGTGCAGTGGGAGGGCCAGAGTAGGTCCTATAAAGCAGAGGCCATTCTTGTTAAGGACCAAGGGTGGTACTGAGCTTGCTGGCACAGGTGCTTTTCCCTGTAGAAGACTTGGTGGCAGAAATAAGATCACCAACTTGTTGAAAAAAATGAGCCCAATTTCTGGGGCTCATCCCTTGGTCAAGACACCCAGCCCCTTTCCTCCAGGATTCAAAAGGCATTGTGGTTCCCAAGAGGGATCAGAACAAAGTCTGTGGTCAAGACAGAGAGGAGTAGGTGTGGTTTCTGGGAAGACTCCTTGCAGCTCCTAAGAGACCATCCAAGAGGTTGTGAACCTACACCCCAGCCCCTTGAGAGGCCTTTGTGTCTTTATCCACCCGGCAGAAATACTAGGAAATTCCCCTCTGCCGTGGCAGCTCTGAAAGCGCTAACTGCAGGAATCCCGCCCCAGGACCTCTGCAGAGGAAATGACTGTGCAGCTGGATTGCATGCTAACACTTTGTTTTGTTACAGCAGCACATGGCGGCCTGAGGGCCCATCAGCCACGAAAGTGTCAGTTGGGTACAGCAGCAGCCACTGCCACTGCCACCTCTGAGACAACTGAGCGTGCCAAAAGTGCAAAGCCTCAAGTTCACCCGGAGAAGAGGTAGGAGTCTAGTTTAGGCACAAATAGAACTTGTCTTTGTTGATGCCAGCATTGGTGGCAACAGCTGCCATAGAGGAGAAGTGCGGAGAAACTCAGCACACAGGGGTGGCATTCGTCATGCCCTCCCTTCCCGGAGGCTGTTACCCTTCGGGTGCTCTCCTTTCCCCTCACACCCCACACCAGGGCTTGCGACGGAGCACATGCTGTTGAGTACGGCCAGCCTGCAGATCCCATAAGAATTTTGTTCTGGAACATGTCATGTAATACAAATGATATGTTGGCTAGAAAAGGATTTAGGAACTTAATGTAGTTACACCTACACAGTCCATGTCTTATGCGAGATAAAGCATAACCGATCCACCCAGAGTTTCTGTAGCAAACGGCATCATTGCCTTTCATCTGCGCACAGGGAACGTAATTATAGACCGTGGGTGTGATGTCTGATCTGTTAGAGACGGGGTCAGTTGTTTCATGCTTCACTCTCGCCACTTCTGGGGTAGGGGAGCCAGGACATTGCTGAGGGTCTTCTTCGAGACAGGTGTTGGTTGTTTTCAGTCTGTTTGTTATTCCAATTGGTCAGGTATATGTGTTATTTAGCACGATACAGTTTTGTAGGTATAGGGGTTCTTTCCTCCCGCACCCCTCTGTTCCTCTGTTTCTCCCTTGTCCCATTTCCCTCCGAATCATCACAGTAACATTGGCCCTTAGTAATAGTCACAAGATTAACTTTCTGCTACCTAAACATACATAACATGGTAGGTATAAGCAAAGGTAGAATATTTAGTATCATACTGTACAGGTTTATTTACATGTTTTGGTGGGAGTCCTGCTTCTATTTGGGAATAGAGATGCATACTGCAATGTAGCTTTACTTCCCACTATGCTAGTCTCCATTATATAGTTCATCTGTGCGACTATATGTGTATACTTGATTATCTATACCTGTCTATTTTTAATTTTACATAAAGCTGCCTTATATCAGAGAGAACGTATGGTATTTGTCCTTTGGGATCCGGCTTATTTTGCTAAGCGTGCTGGTCTCCAGGTGGGACCATTTTCTTGCACATGGCAGGTGGTCTCAGTCTTGCTTTACACAGTGGCTGTGGAAAGTGCTATCAGAAGTTATGTATTTTTGAAAAGACTTTTTAAAGGCAGAATGATAGAGGGAGAGAGGTAGACAGAGAGAGAGAGAGATAGAGAAAATGTGCACATGTCAGAGAGCAAGATTCCATCTGCTACCTCATTCCCCCAAATGGCCACGACAGCCAGGCCTGGGCTAGGCTGAAGTGGGAGCCAGGAATTTCATCCAGATCCCCATGTGGCTGGCAGGGGCCCAAGTATTTGGGCCAGCTTCCACTAGCTTCACAGTTGCACCATCAGGGAACTGGATTTGAAGCAGGTAAACTGGGACTTGAACCAGTGCTCATATGGAATGCTGGTGTTAGAGCAGCGGTTAGATTCACTGTACCACAACAGGTACAGCGACCCCAGAGGGAAGTGACTTGGATGAGTACATGGAATGAGCATACTTTACCACCAGGCAGAGTGAAAGAAAATAGCTGTGACTTGTTTAACTCCTTGACATTTCTGCTACACCTGAAGTTGTCATCAAAGTTATCCAGCCACGAAAAGGCAATATTCTACTGTTGTGCTTCATATTTTCCTCGTTTGTTGGTGGACACAGAATGAATGCTAAGCAAGCTGAGGTTTGTTGGGGACAGGGCTTTGGGGCTAGGGCCCCTGATCTTCTCTTCCCAGCCTCTGTTCCCCTAAAGGATGATCTTAGTACTGTACTGAGTAGGACACAGTCTCCGTGCTCCCCTGCCATCCTTCCCACTTCAACCGTGGGCACTGAGGGCTTGGCAGGAATGACAGGTGTAACTGGGAGAACTGGTTCTGTATGGAACCCTGGAAGAAGAGTTAGTTTGATGCTGTATTATCCTAGAGTCATAATGTTAAGTTATTGAAGTAAAAATCTTAATCCCCCAATTCTATTAAAGAAATAGTTCATTTTAGAATAATCAGATGGGACAAAAAAAAACTTTTAAAAAAAATCCCTTATAATCCTAGCATTTTGTTTGTTAATGTTTGTCCGGTATAAGTTTACTGCAGTGTGCTAATACTGTGTGTATTATTTGTATAGCATCATCTCTTTACTTGCTGCATCATCATATAAATTTGTTCTTCTACATTTTTAGCAGGCTAAGAGTCATGTATTAAGTCATAATTTACTTTTCCAGCCTTACAATATGGCGTACCTAGATTATTTCTGCTTTATTGGATGTTAAAAGTTGGGAAAGTGATGCATGTCTCTGATCATGCCAATGCCAGGCCTCCCCATTGTTCTGTGGTGCTTGGACTGGTCCAGACAGGTGCTAGGCCACACACCAGACTGCATTAGGGGCTCTCAGACTTAATTGTAAAGGGGAAGAGAGTAAATTACTTACTTGTAAATTTATTTTAGGTTTATTTATTTATTTGAAAAGTAGAGTGACAAGACAGAAGTAGAAGAGAGAGAGAATGAATTTCTACCTCCTGGTTCATTCCCCACATGCTGAGAATAGCCGGGTTGGGTACTTTTGCTGAGCTGAAACCAGAAGCCTAGAACTCCATCCATTTTTGCCACCTAAGTGGCAGGAGGCCAAGCGCTTGGGCCATCATCATTCCCAGGCATGTTAGCAGAGAACTGGATCTGGAGCAGCATAACTGGGGCCTGAACCAAGACTCCCACATGGGTTGCCAGTGTCCCAAGTGGTGGCTTAACCCCTGTGTAATAACACCTACCTTGGAAGCAAATTTTTTTAGACTCTGCAGCCATCTTTCTCTGTGGCTGCGTTCACCTCTGTGGTGAGTGAATCATAGATTCTGTATGAACTGGTAAGGGGAGCTGTGTTCCTCTGAGCTTATGCACAAAATATGTAATGGGAGTGTGCATGTGCACACTGGGCGCTGGTTTGCCGGACTGTGTTCTGGAGGCAGGATGGACCACCAGCCAGCTATTTCTTATAGGTTTAATGAAGAGCTGGTATTCAGCTTCTATTTCTTGATATTGAATATAGACAGTAGAATAGAGTTGATTATTAATTAATGAGCTTAAAGCTGTTACGTATGTATATTTACTAGTTCAGAGGAAAATGTTCATGTTTTAAGAACCTCAGAATATAAAAGTTAAAAAAGGAAAACATTGAAGCCTGTTCAAATGTGGTTTTTTTTGAAGATTTTATTTTTATTGCAAAGTCAGATATACTTTGAGGAGAGACAGAGAAGAAAATCATCTGTCCGATGATTCACTCCCCAAGTGACCACAATGGCCAGTGCTGCGCTGATCCAAAGCCAGGAGCCAGGAACTTTCTCCAGGTCTCCCACGCAGGTTCAGGCTTTAGGCTTTAGGCCATCCTCAACTGTTTTCCCAGGCCACAAGCAGGGAACTGGATGGGAAGCAGGACTGCCGGGATTGGAACTGGCATCCACATGGGATCCTGGTGTGTTCAAGGGGAGGACTTTAGTTGCTAGGCCATGCCACCAGGCCCCCAAATGCATTTTTAAGAAAAGAGTTAGTGTGGGGGTTTTTTGGACACCTAATAATTGCATATATCTTTAGGGTAAAATGTGGTATTTCAGTAGTGAGTTGGTGTGCAATGATCAGAGTCACTGGGCATATCCATCACCACAGACCTAGCATTTTCTCTGTGCTAGTAACAGTCAAAATTCCTCTCTACCAGTGACTGGGAAAAGCTCAGTTAATTGCCGTCAGCCATCCACACGCTTCTCTTCTCTAGTATTCCAGAAGGCGTTCCTCCCGTTCAGCTGTAGCCCTCCAAGTGAGAAGTTACAAATATGTTTTTGCTGTTTTGTGCTCTAACAAAGGGAACTTGCCCTGTCTGATCTTGGCCTCAGGTGTGCCGTGTCTGGAGAGGAGAGGCGCAGAGACCCTTAACTAACGCTTTGCACTTCACATTCTGGAGTAGAGGGGAGTTGGCCAAGAGCTTGCTAATGCACCATTGATCATGCACAACACAGTTTTGAATGAAGTGCATGCGTACTGCAGCGTCTTCAAATCGCGTGCCTCCCTTTCATGTGTGAGATCAACATGGTGTGTAGGGCACAGCAACAGCCGCCGTAAAGCCGCACTTGTTCAGAGCTCAGGTGTTGCAGATGAAAAACACCAGCCTAAATCCCGTTTGCACACTGATACCCTCTGTGGCTTAGGTAAGTCCTTCAGCCCGGGCTTTCTCAACCAGTAATCTGTTAACTGGCAGCCATCCACAGGAAAACGCACTTAATTTATTGTGAGTCACAGATTTGGAGGGCGAAAGACAGGATCCCAGGAAAAGATTGGTGGCCTAAGTAGAAAGATTAAGAGAATATTACAGCTTCACAAAATAATGCGTCTGGAATTTTCAGGTATCAAGAAAAGAGGACTCAACACCTGCGTTAATTTAGCAGTAGGACTTCTCTGTGGGAGGGTTGTATAATAGGACAGTCTCGTGTAGTTCCTGGGTTTAGTAAAAAGGGGATTTAGTCTTCTTCCTCTAGGACAATGGGGCTCAACGGGGAGGCAGGGCAATTTGGCTCCCTGTACTCCCCTCATGCTCCCACAGGCTCAGCAGTGACAGCGACATGAAAGATGGTTTTAGTTCATCTTTGCGATGGGAGCTCCATTAGAAAATTCCCTTGCTCAGGAATCTGAAAATGTCAGTAGAGTTCAGATTGTCACCGTGTTCATCGACAGAGTGTTTAAGAAACTGGTTTCTTTCTGTGCAGATTTGACATTAAACATAGCCTAACATTGTGGCCAGGTATTGCCAGCACTTGTTTAAAAACAGAATCCTAACAACATCATGGGTATTAGGAGGTCCTAAGAACGATTTCACCCAGGGGAGCCATTCCAGCAGGCTGTTAGAAAGTGGCCACCGTCTGTATTTGTGATGATGGTGGTAGGTTATTTCACTCACTTTATCAGGCATGAGTGAGGACTTGGTTGTATAATGGGATATTATTTAGCAAAAGGAAGGAGTGACATAATAGGTCATGCTGCAACGTGTGTAAATCTTGAACATTGTATGCTGCGTGGAAGGACTGGCCCCGGTGTGGGGTTCCACAGTTCAGGTTTCATGGATAGGCAGGTTTGTAGCACTAGAAAGTAGATGAGCAGTGAGGAGGGGTGAGAGAGTGAGCAGGAAGTATCCATCAGGGATGCAAAGATTCTTTGGGGGTGTGATGAAGGTATCTGGAAGGAGAAAATTGGGATGGCTTCACAGATTTCCGATTGCCTGAAAAAGGTTTAAAAAGGTGACTTTTCCACTTTGTGAATTGAAACTCGATTTTTAAAACATGCACAAAGTAAAACTAACCAGGGAACAAAGGAAAGGAGTACTGTGTCCTTTTGTTTCTCTGTCATTGTCACCACATTCTGAATTAGTGGAGGAGACAGAGCAGCAGGAAAGAACAAATGACTAAAGAGAAGGGAGTGGAAGAAAGATGGGCCACAGTGGCGTGCTGAGTTAAGCTGACACTTGAAATAGCTACACCCCATATGTGGGTGCCTCCTCTACTTCCGACCCAGCTCCCTACCAGAGGCCCTGGGAAGGCAGCAGATGATGGACCAAGTACTTCGGTCCCTGCCACCCACAAGGGAGATCCTGGATGGAGTTCTGCATCCTTGCTTTAGGCCCAGTTGTTGTGTGCATTTAGGGGAGTGGACCAGCAAATGTAATATCTTTCTGTCTGTTCCTTTGTCTTTCAAATAAATGCTTATAAAAAGTAAGGAGAAGGAAAGGTGGGCTCGGATGAATACTTTGCAGAATGTGAGCTGTCAGAGACTCTGTTCTGTGTCAGTCCCTTCTAAGTGACCAGGGCTCTCAGATGACCGAGTGGAGGCAGGGAGTGGGCTCCCTGCCAGACAGAGGAGGAGACATGAGGTTTGGAGAGAAGGAGTCTCCTGAGTGTGCATAAGGCCCTCCTAGGAGCTTGAGCCTCAGGACCACTTTCTTGTTCCTCTTTGACTCTCAGAACCTAGAGAGCTGGACCTTTGCGCAGAGCTGACGGTTTAGCAGGAAACGGTTCCAAGCACAGCAAAGACCTATATCTGAAGGGAACTCAGAGACGGTCAGAGTATGAGCTGGGACTGTGGGGGTTCAGAGGTCTTGGGTGTCCTTAGGGAGGTCTCCCTGTGGTGGCTGTGCACAAGTTGTAGGCTTCTTCTCTTACACCAGACAGGTGACACGAGGGTTTGCCAGCTTGGAAAAGAAGCAGGATGACAAGCAGCCACTGAATTTCACTTCTTATTTTGTTCGTAGGAAGCCAAAAACTGGTATATTGATGCTAAACATGGGAGGCCCTGAGACCCTTGGAGATGTTCATGACTTCCTCCTGAGGCTCTTCTTGGACCGAGATCTCATGACACTTCCTGTCCAAAAGTAAGAAACACAGAGATACCTGTATGGCCTGGCAACTTGTCTGACGCAGTCTTGATGCACACATGGCAGTGGTTATGGCGGCAGCACTCTTTGCTGTTGTGTGTTAGAGGGCTGTAATATTGGGCAGCCACAGTAGGGGATGGCAAGTTGGGATTCTCCTTGAACTCTTTCCTCTCCAGGGCTGTGGAAGTCATAGCTGTCTTGCCACAGCTGAAGTACCTTGAAAGATACCTAAAGATCTATTTGGACTTGGCCATTAATGGCTGATTAGCATTGGGGCAAGCAATGCGCATTATTCACGTAGGTTCTAAATCGTTATCCTGGCTGCTTGCTTTCTCTTTCTTTCATCCTTCTCTCCCTCCTCCTTTCTTTTTCCCATTCATGTGTTTGAATTTTTAGTTTCTCTCTCTCTCTCTCTCCCTCTCTCTCTCTCTCTCTCTCTCTCTCTCTCTCTCTCCCCCTCTCCCTCTCTCTCTCTTTCAAACTGAGTAGCAAACATCTCTCACTTTGCTAAAGTGGAATAATAAAATCCACTTCTCTACCTGTTCAATGATTTAGCAAACTGGGGCCATTCATTGCCAAACGCCGGACCCCCAAAATTCAGGAGCAGTACCGCAAGATTGGAGGTGGCTCTCCTATCAAGATGTGGACCTCCAAGCAAGGGGAAGGCATGGTGAAGCTGCTGGATGAACTGTCTCCTCACACAGGTAGGGTGCTCCGTCATTGGCCTGTGGTCCTAGGCCTGTTTCTTCAGAAGAATCAGGAAACTCCAAACCACTTCCGGTACCACGTGCTGTGACGTAGACCAGCGCATCCTGAATCGTGGGGATTTCTGCATACTACCTGGTCACTTCCCTTTGTTCTGGAGGCATTATCCTGTCAGCATGTGCTTTTCCCATTACAAATAAAAGCTAATGTTAGGTTCACAAGAGGCGCAAGGTATGTGATCAGTTGAGCTAGATTCTGGGGCAGAAGTAACACACCGTGAATGAAAAGATTCATGCCCATGATCTCACAGGAAAAAAAATCCTTGGGAAATGGATTTGGGTTGCTGCTCTTACCTTTTCTTTCTAGTCAGATAATTAAGCCAGCATTTAGAACAGAAGCAGCCAACTGTCACAAAGCCACAAGCCACTAGGCAATCTAAGGCCATTGCTTTCAGCTCTTGATAGCACCGAGAGCCACAGAAAGGGTTGTGCCCATCCTCTGAGAATGTCCACGCACAATAGTTGCGTGCAGCACAAAGCACCAAGTGCTCCATTGAGCTGCAGGTTCAGTATCTAATTTATGCAAGACACAAGTGATTGCAGGGCATAACATTGTATGTACTGTCTATGGTGCACATCAGCTAAGACCAAGAGGGTGCTCACTATGGCAGCGCATATACAAACGTTGGAAGTCAAGGATGTTAAAATTGAAAAGGATGCACCTGGGCCTGGCATGGTAGGCTGGTGGCTAAAGTTCTCACCTTGCATGCATTGAGGTCCCATATCCCAGATGCCCCACTTCCCATCCAGCTCCCTGCTTGTGGCCTGGGAAAGCAGTGGAGGATGGCCCAAAGCCTTGGGACTCTGTACCCATGTGGGAGACCCAGAGAAGCTCATGGCTCCTAGCTTCAGATCAGCTCTGAGCATTACAGCCACTTGGGGAGTGAATCAGCGAATGGAAGATCTTTCTCTCTGTATCTCTTTCTCTGTGTAAATCTGCTTTTTCAATAAAAATAAACCAATTGAAATAAAGAGAAGAAGGAAGGAAAGAGAAAAAGAAAAAGAGAAAGAGAAAAGAAAGAGAGAAAGGGAGAAAAGGGTGCATCTTCAGGTAACTAAACTATGCTCACTGTAATAAAGGGCATCAGAATGAAGACAGCAGTGTGACATTAGTGGTGGGGAAGGCCTATTTTGTCAGCTGAAATGTGGCCATACTGTCCTGTTGAGTGTGAGGTTTGCTGCCTACCTCAGCTGTGGCTCTCAGCAGGTCTGCTGTCTAGGAACACATGTCACAGATGTCACAGGCAGTGGCAGCAGTGGGGACCTTGGCTGCCATCTGCTCACTCCTGCTTGACAGAGAACAAACTCTCCCGCTTGTTATTGGTTTTTCCTAGTAAAAGGTAAATCCGTTTGGCTATTGCTGTGCTGTAAGCAGTGGAAATAGGAGATGCAAAGATCTTCCTACTGTTTCCCCATTACTGTGGTACTCAGCTCCATCACAAGCCCTTGTGGTGTGGCCCCGCCTGGGAAAGGAGTACAGGTGGAAGCACATCTTTGTGTCCTGCATCTGTGTCCTTGGTCTCCTGGTGAGTCTGTTGCGTGGTCCAGACCCTTCAGACCAGCTGTAGTTGACACCTGCAACATTAGCTGGACAGAGTCCCACGGAACGACCCAGGTTTGACCAGGCACCCCATCTACCATCAAATGTCTGATAATTTTAATATGTGACAGCTTAGTGCAAGGAGAGAAGTTACTAGCATGTAAGTTCTAGAACTAATTATTCTCTACTTTGGAATGGGGCCAAAGAAGAATAATGCCTTATCGTGAAAGTGATTTTTAAAAATATTTATACACTCTTTTTCTGAAAGGCAGAGAGAAAAGGAGATCTTCCATATGCTGGTTCACTTCTCAGATGCCTTCAGAAGCCTGAACTGGCACAGGTCAAAGCCAGGACCTTGATCTCAAGCTGGGTCTCTTGCACAGGTGTCAGGGCCACTACTACTTGAGCCAGCATCTGTTGCCTGCCAGGGTGCGCATTAGCAGGAAGCTGGAGTTGGGACTTGAGTCAGATACTCCAGTATTGGACGTAGGTGTTTCAAACAGCGACTGAACCACTGCACCAGATATCTGGCCCACCGCGGTGTTGGGGATACGTTTCAGGTCTCTGAGAAGCGTGGATCAGCTCTGGCTTGCCTGAGTAATCACTCCGTCTCTCCTAACATGGCAAGGAATTGCCTTTGCGCCTTCGTTTCTTCGGCTCACCTGCTCACTTACTTGCTCTTTGACCCATTGATCTCACGTGCACCCACCAGCCAGCAGCTGAATGTCAGCACCTGTCTCGGGTAAAGTACAAGGAAAGAGCAGCAAGGCAGCCTCCTGTTCACAGAGTGAGCTTCCTGCTGGCTTACACCGAGGCAGGCAGGCAGGGAGAGCTCGCGCGTTCTCTAGAGCTTGGGAATCTGTCCAGGTCCTAATCCAGGGTACACATTGGAACCAGTTGGGCTTTTTTTTTAAAAAAATATTTATTTATTTTTATTGGGAAGTCAGATATACAGAGAGGAGGAGAGACAGGAAGATCTTCGTCTGATGATTCACTCCCCAAGTGAGCGCAATGGCCGGAACTGAGCTGATCCAAACCAGGAGCCTGAAACCTCCTCCAGGTCTCCCACTGGGTGCAGGGTCCCAAGGCCCTGGGCCATCTTCCACTGCTTTCCTGGGTCACAAGCAGGGAGCTGGATAGGAAGTGGGGCAGCTGGGATTAGAACTGGCACCCATATGGGATCCCAGTGTGTGCATGCGAGAACTTTTACCACTAGGCTTCCACAATGGGCCCACTATACAATTTTAACATCTGTGTGGCATCCATTTGTTAATTTCTATTAGGAAAACTTCTCATTAGGCAAAAAAATGTGATGGTTACAAACAGATAAAAATGTTAAATGCTGCAAATTTTTTTAAAAAGAGAAATAGTTTTTGCTTGGTAACCAGTATTCAGATTTTGACACTGGCACTGGCTTTGGGTGAAATTGGCCAATTAAGTAAGACTGCAAGTTATGCAGAGTCTGTGGTTTCGTTTGGTGACACTGCATTGTGGTAAGAGAGAATGAAACAGCCAGGTCGACATCTGATGTCATCAGATCACAAGTTCATGTCTAAAATACCCCCTTCCTTTAATCATCCCGCTGTCTGCCAGGTGTGAGTGCCACTCGGGGGCATGGTTCCGTTCTTCGTGGGTGCCAACGGGTCAGGGCGTGGCTTTCAGGTGACCCTGGCTCCTCCAGTCCTGCCTGTGTGGCTTTGCTGACTAGGCCTCCTCTTGGAAATGGGGCAGCTTGAAGAACTCAGCTCTGCGGAGCCTGATGCCCTTCAAGTGAGGTCATCCTAGCGGTGCTCACCTGGAACATGGAGCCCGTGTGAGAATTGGCCACCTTGGGTGTAGGTTCAGGATATGATGGAAATTCGGAAGTCTCTATGAATGTGTGTGTGTATGCACGCTCGTGTATTTAAAGATCTATTTATTTATTGGCAAGAAAGAGTTACAAAGACAGGGACAGAGAGAGAGAGTTCGTTTTTTGGTTCATTCTCCAGATAGCACCAGTAGCTAGTACTGGGCCAGTTCGAAGCTAGAAGCCTGGAGTTCACCCACGCCTCCCAGGTGGGTAGTAGGGGCCATCTTCCACTGTTTTCCAGGCCACTAGCAGGGAACCAGACCAGCTTTGAGGCAGCCGAGCCGGGAACCAGTGTCCATAGGGCATACCTGTGCTGCGGGCAGATGCACCCCTACCCACCACGCCATAGGCTGTTCCCAAGAAGCCTTTCTCTCAAAGAGTCAGGGGCATATCAGATTTTGGAAATACCATCCTTGCCAAGTCAGAGAAGTTGTAATGTTGGGTTTCTCTGTCGTTTCTTGCCAGTGTGCATGGTGGGCTCAAGGGGGTCGGGGAGTGGAGGGACAGCAGCCCCTCAGCAGCACGCTCAGCTGGGCCCAGGCTCGTGTTGGCCAGACGTGCTGCTGATCCACACCAGGCAGGCACCTTTCCCTCTCTGTGTCCTGCCGGGGGCAGCCGCTTAGGGTGAAATCCACCCCAGTGGCTGGTCCCGCTCACACAGTATGTTGTCAGCTTTCCTAAAGCATACAGGGCAGCTTTCAGAAGCATTATCTTAAGAAAGCATATTGAAAATACACTCCCCCGCCCCATGTTTATCTCCTGGGGTGGCCTCTCCCTGTCTGAGTTGGCACCATGGGAGGGGCTTCCAGGCGCCAGGCCTCTCCACTTCAACTTGCACCTCCTGGACAGGGGAAAAGAAAACGAGAGAAGCCTGCTGATGGGTGTCATCACGGGACCTTACTGTGTCAATCTGATAATTGTATTGTCTCAAAATAGATTAGAAAGCAATTTCCACCGGGTTGCTAAGCCTTAGCTCAGATCCCCGAGTTGCTTCGAAATGGACTTGATGGCATTGTGACAGTTGGCAGGTTGAGCACATAATCTTCGAGCTATCCGTCACCGTGAGTTTGCCTATGGGGTCACGTCCTCTGGCATGTTTTCACTGTATTTCAGCATGTGTTTTTGCAAGAGAGCAGAAAGATTGGTGGCCTGGAAGGGATGGCCAGCAGAAATGATTCCATCCATACTCCTTCCTTCCACTTTCTGCAGTCCCCTCCCCAAGAACCATGAGTCAAACCAGGCTTGCCACATGTGTGGACACTACTCATTCACTCCTGCATATGGCTGCCATGACCAGGGCTGGGCCAGGAGTCGAGAACTCCGTTGAGTGTCCCACACAGGTGGCAGATCCCCAAGCACTTGGGCCATCTCATCCTGCTTTCCCAGTCACATTGCCCGGGAGCTAGATTGAAAACAGAGTCACCGGAACTCAAACCAGCACTCATATGGGATGTCGGGCTTGCAGGTGGCAGTTTAACCCACTACATCACAGCACCAGCCCCATTGGTTCCATTCTTACTCTACATTTGGATGGTGTATTCTCAGTATCATCCTTGAGCAGACAGTACACACAATCATGAAAAAGCAAGAAGACAAGACCAGGTAACTTCAGCGAGCTTTCAGTTTTAGGCTTTTGTAAATCTAAGATGTTGTGTGATGTGGAGGGGCTGGTATTATGGCATGGTAGGTAAAACTGCCACTTGCTGTACTGTCATCCCATACGTGCATCAGTTCAAGTCCTGGCTACTCTACTTTTGGTCCAGCTTGCTGCTAATGGATCTGTTAAAAGGGCGGGGGATGGCCCAAGTCTTTGGGTCTTGAAACCCATATGGAAGACCTGAAAGAAGTTCCCAACTCCTGGCTTTAGCCTGGCCGTTGCAGCCATCCGAAGTATGAACCAGTGAATGGAAGATCTCTCCCTTGCTCTCTCTCTCTCCCTTCCCTCCCCCTCTCTCTGGAATGCCTTTAAATAAAAAGTTTTAAGAAGAAGTAGGAGGATAAAGAAGAAGTAGGAGGATAAAGAAGAAGTAGGAGGATAAAGAAGAAGGGATGGGGTTGTTGATGTCACGGGAAGGATGTACGGATGACACTAGAAAGAGCTAGTCCTCTTAACCTCTGTTGTCAGTAAGCATGTTCATACATCCCCGAATCTGTTTTTATAAACCAGAGGTGACCTGGCATCTGAGGGGACCGGGTGAGAGCAGCAGGCAGGGGGTGTGGCTGGGGCTGCTGGGTGATAATCCCAGGTGACTGCTGGGTGTGGCTCTGAGCAGACCTGTGGACCCTGAGTGTCTGTTTCCTTATCTGAGAAATGGAGGTTTGAATGAGAGAAAAAAATCATGTGAATTTTCTGCCATGGTGTCCAGGACACCTGAGGAGGTTACAATTTAAGGATGGGACTTAGCGGGCTGGTACGGCTAAGCTCTGAAGACACTGTGTCTCAGGCTGGAGTCCTAGGTTCCAAACCCAGCTCTGACTCCAGCTTCCTGCTAATGGAGCCCCTGGGAGGCAGTGGTGATGACTCAAGTAACTGGATTCCTGCCACCCATGTCAGACCTGAACTACGTTTGCAGTGACCAGAGTTGGCCCCAGGCCAAGCACTGTGGGCATCTGGGGAGTGCAGCGAAGCATGGAGTGCCAGCTCGCATGTTCACTTGCTCCCCACCCCTACCCCTCGGGTAAATATAGTTTTTCTGTGTCTGTCTGACCTCAGCCAAGAACAGCAAGTTAGGACAGAAGCATGCGTTTGGGTTTTGGGTTTTTTCTTTTTTTAAAGATTTTTTTTTTAATTGGAAAATTAGATTTACAGAGAGGAGAGACAGAAAGATCTTCCATTTGCTGCTTCACTCCCCTAATGGCAGTCATGGTCAGAGCTGAGCCCATCCAAAGCCAGGAGCCAGAGTGTCATCCGGGTCTCCCATGTGGGTGCAGAGTCCCGAGACTTTGGTCCGTCCTCTACTGCTTTCCCAGACCACAAGCACATGGGATCCCAGTGCATGCAAGGTGAGGACTTCAGCCGCTACACTATTGTACCAGGCCCAGAAGCATGAATTTTAAAAAGCCATTGTGCTAAGTAAATGGGATCCAGTAGAACCCGAAAGTGCCCATGGCTGCTGAAGAATGAATGAGATCCGAAGTGTGTTCTGAACCTGCTCCCGTTATTGGTGAGCTGCATTATGTGTGGTAACTGCAAAGACAAATACTTTCTCCTTTTTCCACACATGCTTCCTAATAGCTCCTCACAAATACTATATTGGATTCCGGTACGTCCATCCTTTAACGGAAGAAGCAATTGAAGAGATGGAGAGGGACGGGCTTGAACGGGCCATTGCTTTCACGCAGTATCCGCAGTACAGCTGCTCCACCACAGGTACCGGTGTTGCTGTGACGGGGAGGGAGGGGGGGACGGCACGTGGAGCCCAGGCGCCCAGGCGTGGCAGGAGAGGATAAATCGCTCGCAATCTGAATGGCAAATCCAGTCTGTCTCCTTTAAACTCGAGGGTTGAGGAAGGTCCATTTGAAGTCTTACGGTTCAGCTGTCCCTTGACTTATTGGCCAGCGGGTCGAGAATTCAAGTCGCTGGCTGGCAGGTGGCGGCAGCGAGTGTTCAAGGTACCCTGTGCAGTTGTGCACTGGAGCGTAAGGCAACTTAAGGCACTTTCTCAGTGTGTGGTAAACCGTGTTTTCACCATCATTCCTGTTCGTGTAGCAAAGGCAATAGCTGTGTGTGTTTTCAAACAATTTGTATATAACCCGGGAAGTATCGGTATTTGTGCTTCATTCTGGAGTTAAACCAAACCCAGTTTGGGGTTCCTTTTGTAAGCTTCTCAGAGCTCCTGGCTTGGGAAAACACGCCAGCCCATTATTTGCTCTGTGTTTAACTGGGGCTGGTGAATAATCTATGTTTGGCAATCTGCAGGTCATTAATTGTAGACGAAGCTTTCACTGTCACCCCCTGAATGCATCGATTTGCATTCCGTTTCAAGACCCAAGGTCGAACGTTTTACTCAGCAAGCTGATTTGGGGTTGATGCAGTGATTTCTGCTGAGCGTAGGGAGACTAAGAGGCTTGTGCTCCTGCAGGGTTTGGTGAGTGCTGATCGGAAGGCCCCGGTCCTCAGCCACCCCGAGAGTTGGAATCAGGATCTTTTGCAAATGTCCCACTGGAACGTTCACAGGATCTGAGCACCGACTGTTGGCCTTCCTTCGGAGCAAGCGACAGCCCTGTCATGGGAGCTGTGCTCAGTTGGTTAGTTTGACCACAAGGGGCTGGCTAGTTTCTCACCTCTGTTACCACTGGGGGGTGCACAGGCGCATGCTCAGCAGTTGTGTAGTACATCTTGTCAGTAAGGACTGCATGTCTTCACCCACAAGCCTCGGGATGGAGCACACAGGAAGCAGAGTGTGGGAGTCTGCCGTGTCTGTCAGGGAGGCGCTGCTGTGCCCTGTGCCAGTTGGCAGGCCTGCTTCTCCGTTTTGGTCCACGCATCTGCCTCACTTCTCAGGACTCTAGTCGGTGTCCCCAAGTGACCTCAACGAGCCCGCGGAGCTTTCAGAAGCCCATTTTTTACATCTGAAAATGCAAATGATGCCCACCTGAAAAGTGTGGTTTGTATTTTATGAAAATGTTACTTTTGAACGTTAAATGGACCCAGTTTGGCTTCTCTGGAGCCATTGTTTTCTGCTTGTCCAAACTGCTGAGTTTTAGCACAAGAGCACATTTGGTTTGACTGCTTCGTGAATCGTGCTTTAAACTGGAAGGCCAGCTGACTGATTGACGGTCCTTCCTGTTAGAGAATCCCTTAGAAGGAGACGGAAGCCGTGGGCTTGTTCTGGGCCTCATCCTGAGTTAGGCTGGGGAAGAGGCCCAGGTGAGACCTCCACAGGACTCGGCTTTGGTCCCACCACCTGCCCGTGGAGAATGTGCCCTTGCTTAGCTCCCTGTGCTCCCCTTAGAAACAGAAGCTTTTTGTAGATTCCCTCGGAAGAGGTGGTGTCCGTGGCGCTTGTCTGCAGGGGGGTGCCTGTCATTTGGTAGAAGCAGATAAAAACAGGGAGGCCCAGTCACAGAGGGCCCAGTCACAGAGGGCCCCTCACAGAGGGCCCAGTCACAGAGGGCCCAGTCACAGAGGGCTCAGTCACAGAGGGCTCAGTCACAGAGGGCACAGTCACAGAGGGCTCAGTCACAGAAGGCCCCTCACAGAGGGCTCAGTCACAGAGGGCCCAGTCACAGAGGGCTCAGTCACAGAGGGCCCAGTCACAGAGGGCTCAGTCACAGAGGGCCCTAGGAGTCACAGAGGCCCAGTCACAGAGGGCCCAGTCACAGAGGGCTCCAGCCCAGTCACAGAGGGCCCAGTCACAGAGGGCCCAGTGACAGAGGGCTCAGACACAGGTCCACACAGAGGGCCCAGTCACAGAGGGCCCAGTCACAGAGGGCTCAGTCACAGAGGGCCCAGTCACAGAGGGCTCAGTCACAGAGGGCCCAGTCACAGAGGGCCCAGTCACAGAGGGCCCAGTCACAGAGGGCCCAGTGACAGAGGGCTCAGACACAGAGGGCTCAGTCACGGAGGGCTCAGTCACAGAGGGCCCCTCACAGAGGGCCCAGTCACAGAGGGCCCAGTCACAGAGGGCTCAGTCACAGAGGGCTCAGTCACAGAGGGCTCAGACACAGAGGGCTCAGACACAGAGGGCTCAGTCACAGAGGGCTCAGACACAGAGGGCTCAGTCACGGAGGGCTCAGTCGCAGAGGGCTCAGTCGCAGAGGGCTCAGTCACAGAGGGCACAGTCACAGAGGGCCCAGTCACAGAGGGCCCAGTCACAGAGGGCTCAGTCACAGAAGGCCCCTCACAGAGGGCTCAGTCACAGAGGGCTCAGTCACAGAGGGCCCAATCACAGAGGGCTCAGTCACAGAGGGCTCAGTCACAGAGGGCTCAGTCACGGAGGGCTCAGTCACAGAGGGCCCAGTCACAGAGGGCCCCTCACAGAGGGCCCAGTCACAGAGGGCTCAGTCACAGAGGGCCCAGTCACAGAGGGCCCAGTCACAGAGGGCTCAGTCACAGAGGGCTCAGTCACAGAGGGCTCAGTCACGGAGGGCTCAGTCACGGAGGGCTCAGTCACAGAGGGCTCAGTCACAGAGGGCCCATCACCAAGGGCTCAGTCACGGAGGGCTCAGTCACAGAGGGCTGGGAGGTTGGTTGCCTTACATGGAGGAGGTTTACCTCAAGATATTGAGAATGTCTCTTCCCCTAAAGTAATCCCTTCCGGCTATGGAATTGTGCATATACTGAGACTACAAGTTTGTACCACAAAGCCTCTGTGAAAAACTAACAGCATGATGACTTTGGGACAGAACAGTGGTGGTGTTAGCCAGCTCGCTGGGCTGGCAGCTGCCTTGTTTTCATGTCTTCGTCATCCCCTCCCCTCTCTGTCCTGGGACCATTTGCCTTCATGCTTAACATGCTCTCGGTTGTCACACTGGGTCCCTTCCAACAGTACCTGCTTCCCTCTCCCGAGCCAGTGGCCGGCCTGCTCCTCGCTCGGCGTGGCCGGCATCTGTGCACATCTGCCATGGATCACATCTTTGTAGGGTACCTGGGTCGATCTGTGTGCATTGTAAGCTATCAGTGGGATGCCACTGTCGCAGTGGAGGGGCCCTGGCCTACTCTGAACGTGTATCTGCTGCCTGTGTCGGACTTGTAAGCGGCCACCCCGGAATGCATCTGTTGAGTGGTCCCCTGTATGTTTCAGGCAGCAGCTTGAATGCCATCTACAGATACTACACTGGAACGGGCAAGAAGCCTGGCATGAGGTGGAGCACCATCGACAGGTGGCCCACACATCCCCTGCTCATCCAGGTGAGTCGGCAGCCGCCAGTGCTGTGGGCACGTCCCAGGTTTGTGACAGCCACTGTTCTTTTAACCTGAATGATGTAATAGAGGATTGTTTTTTGAAACAGTAGCAAATTCATGATTTTATTGCAAAGAGAAAATGAAGATGAAATGAGTTCACTCTTTCTTGAGATTAGTGCTGACAGTTTGTTGACAAGTCTCTTTTGAGAAGTTTTGTGTTTGGTCATGAACAGGTGCATGTTAGACTGTGCATGGTGTTCCAGTGTGTATTCACAGCCTGAACGACCTGCAGATGAATTCAGTGCCCCATTTTCTCACTCCTGCAAAGTGGCAGAAGCTTTTTGTTTTGTTTTGTTTTTAATGTTTTAATTTAAGGCATCTATATATTCTGAGACATGAAAGTAAATATAAAAATTCAATTGAGAAAGTTTCATAGACTTGAATTGTAATTTCCACAACAACAACTTGTTCTGTGAATAGTATATGCAAATTCAGCACATGAGTTTAGGAGAATCCATCTTAGAGCCAGCAGTTTCACTGTTACTTTATTCTTCTCTGCCTTTCAGTTACGAGAGTGCAGTTGGTAAAACAGTACCCTAAATCCTGCAGATGGAGTTTTGTTCCCTCAGTTACCTGAGGGAGGAGAATCATTAAGTGACTTATTTCCACCCAGGCTGCTTTTCCTCCTTGGGCGTCCGCTGACCCGGGGTTGCTGAACGGCGCCGGCCACTAGATGGCGCTGGACGTCATGAAAACCAGGCCCGCTCTCCCCGGCGTGGCCGGCGAGGGAAGGGTTAACACCCCGCCTCGAAATCCAGTGTTAGGTTAAAAAGTGGAAAGGCCGGAGCTGACTTTACGCATGGGTGTGGCTGTGCACCCTGCATCCCTCACTCCCCCCACTTTCTCGGGGCCAGCCCCCTGCGGCCACCTGCAGCCCCCCGCATCCCGGCGGCCGACATGTGGTAGCGGGCGCTCAGGGTCTGCACAGCATCTGCCTGCCCTGATGGAGTGAGTAATTAGATTTGCATTAAAATTCAGCCCTTTGAAAAGGGGGGAAAGCCGAAAGATGGAAAGGTCTCTTAACTGAGGAAGTCTCTGTTCATGAAATGAAAGGGAAGTTGCGAGGCGTTTGTCCGCCCTCCTGGCCGGTGATTGAAGGCTCTGAGAGGCGCGGGGCCTTTCATTCCGCAGAGGGACTGCAGTCCTGCAGATGGGCCGGAGGGGATGGACGTGGCCCTGCCTGGTGTGCACCGGAGGGAGCTGGGACAGCTGGAGCCGGCCAGGGGCTGTGGCCACCTTGCGCTCCAACAAAGGGGGAAACTCGCGGCTCTACCTAAGATAGGGCTTTTTGTTTTGTTTTGTTTTCTTAAATATGCAACAATAAAACTCTAAATCACAACTACAAATGCAGTTTTGAAGTAAGCACCAACCAGAGATTGCTGTGACACTGTCCAGCTCCCGGCCTAACTGGAGCCAAGTTCCCTCCCGGGCTCCTGCACTGGCTTGGCCTCCTCACTCTGCACCAGGCATCCCACGTGTGTTGGTCTCTAAGGCTGTCGGCACATTTCAAATTCTGAACAGGGATCATCACTCAGCTGCATCATGGGGCCTACGGCGTTTTATTTAGCGCCGTTCAAGGCTTCTGGGACAATAAGTACTGTTTTGTTGCTTGCCACAGTGTGACCAATGATAGGCCAATCACAAGGCAAATTCTGGTGGTTCTGATAAATTAGCCTTTGTAGTTAAACAGCGTCTTGGTCTTCAGGAGCAGCTTCAGACCAGTGTAAGGCGCTGCAGTGTTAGTGTTCTGTGCACACCCCGTGTGTACACATGTGTGGAAACGTGCAGGCTTTTGCCTGAGCCTTTTAAGAGCACTGTAAACATCTCACCCAATGGAGTATCACCACGTGGACCCCAGAGGGTGTTTTTTTTGTTTTTTTTTTAGGCTTATTTATTTTTATTGGAAAAGTGGATATACAGAGACAAGGAGAGACAGAGAAGATCTTCAGTCCATTGATTCACTCCCAAAGCAGCCGCAATGGCCAGAGTTGCGCGATCCAAAGCCAGGAGCCCAGAGCCTCTTCCGGGTCTCCCACATGGGTGCAGGGTTCCAAGGCTTTGGGTCATCCTTGACTGCTTTCCCAGGCCACAAGCAGGGAGCTGGATTTGAACTGGCATCCATATGGGATCCCTGTGGATGCAAGGCGAGGACTTTAGGCACTAGGCCATGGCGCTAGGCCCAAGTGTGTATTTATTAAGATCAGGGTTATTCTGTCATGGAACCACCATGCAACACTCAGCTTTGGAAAACAGCGTCAGTGCTGACTTGTGTCCCATTGGTGCTGCTCCTCCGGCCTGTTAAGTGACCCGTCCCCCTAGCGCTTTCCTTAGGAGTCCAGTGGCAGAGAAGGATGAAGTGTGAGATGAAAGGAAGCCCCTTCAGATCTGGCATTTCAGCACCTAGCCGCGTGCACTGCAGAGCACCAAGTAGACAGAGGGGGCGAGCCGGTCTGGTGGACAGAGGTTTGCAGTTGCAGATCAGATGGGACTGCCTGGCCTGGAGCCCCAACATCTCCCCCTCCCCCAGCTCTGTGAATCAGATGGGGGTCAGAGAGCCTGCCATGCTCTGTCGGGACCGACTCGGGGAGGGTGCTGGACCCCCCGAGCACGTTCTTGGTCTCCTGCCATCCCGGGCTCACATCTTTCAGAGGGCTGTGCCCAAGAGCAGCCTGCAAGGGATTCACACAGACCCTGGGCGCCGTTTTCCTGCTTGCACAGCACACCCCAGGCCTCGCCACAGCCTCTGCTTCCCATCTGGAAGTGTGCACTCCTGCCCGTCCCAGGGGAAACGCAGCCACAGCCATCATTTGCACCGAGCCATTAGCCAGCGTTAGAAGTTTCCCGTCAAATTCCCCAGGCCCCCCACACCGACACTGTTGGGCTCCAGTCTGGTGGTGAGCCAAGGCAGACAGGCAGTACCACTGGCAGTGTTGAGAAGAGCGGGTTCTGGGGTCTGAGGGTCCTGCTGAGGTTTCAGGGGCAGCTCTTTTCTCTTTCTAAGACTTCTCCCATTCCTTCCTTCCCGTTACCCACTCCTCTGCTCTCGGGGGTTTCCCACAGTGCTTTGCAGACCACATTCTGAAGGAGCTGGACCACTTTCCCCCAGAGAAGCAAAGCGAGGTGGTCATTCTGTTCTCTGCGCACTCCCTGCCCATGTCGGTAAGTCAGAGCGTGGCCACGTGGCCTGCTGGGAGGGGACTGCGAGGGGACTGGGCAGGGGCGTGGCTTAGGGAGCTCAGCTCCCCCATGTACCCCAAGCCCTTGAAGGGGTGAACTCTGAATTTCCAGGCCTGCCCCGTGCTGCCTAGACTCTGTTTACTTCTTGAATCCTGTTTTATTGCAAATTGCCTTTTTATTTTTCTTACTTAATGACAAGTTGAAGATGCATTCATTAAATAAGAGTTTTGGGGGCCGGGTGCTGTGGTACAATGGGCTAAGCTGCCACCTGCACTGCCAGCATCCCATATACATGCTGGTTCAGGGCCCGGCTGCTCCAGTCCCCATCTTGCTCCCTGCTACTGCACCTGAGAAAGCAGCAGAGGGTGGACCAAGTGCTTGGGTCCTTGTCACCCACGAGGGAGACCCAAAGAAGCTCTTGGCTCCTGGTTGTGGCCCGGCCCAGCCCTGGCTATTGGAGCTATTTGGGGAGTGAACCAGCAGATAGAAGATTCTCTCTCTTTCTCCCATTTTTGTATCTTCCTTTCTTTGTGTAACTTTTTTTAAACAAATAAATGAACAATCCTTTAAAAAAAGTATTTATATGCTTGCAATGAAAGAATCTCAGCTGATCTTGAACTGTGGCAATGCAGCAAGATAGAGGAATCCACCCTAAGGGGAAGGTTTGGGGAGGGGTGGGGGGAATCCCAGTACCTATAAAACTGTGTCACATAATGCAATGTAATTAATTTTTAAAAAGTATTTATATAACAGAGGAAACTTTGAAGTCAAGGAGCTGATTATCTGAAGGTGGTGCCTGCCTGCCTGCCCTGTTGGTGCCCGGGCTGCTGGCTGTGGTGTGGATGTGGGATCCCCAGTCACACCAAGCTCTTCGTCCCCTCCTCATCCTCAGGCGTCAATGGTAGCTGTTTAAAATCCACATTCAAGCGAGGCATTCACCTGTGGGCAGTGAATGTAGGGTGTACCCAGTTGTGGTGGGCCTGTTCCTTATAAGACTGCCTCTGCCTGTTGCATCATGGTGCTGTGTGATATGAGAAGACACACACTGTTTGAGTAACCAGTTCTGTCAGCTTGCTGCTGGACTTCATGAAGGTTTTAGTGCCATTGAGAATAGCATCAACTAGGACTTCAGGTCCCCTCTGCTCCCTGCTCCTTACCGCCACCTAGTGGTGGTCACTGGGAGCAAGCTCTTCGTGCTTCCCTCTTCTGGCATCTTAACTATGCAGGCAGTGGCTGAGCAAGTAGGTGAACCTGGCGCAACTCTCTCCTGGGAGCCTGCATGTTTCACTTCAGCAGGTTCCTATCTCCCGTTTTTGGTGGTCAGCACATCCTCCTTCGATCTGGTCCTCCTCCTGTTCCTGCCAGGCCCTATGTGTGGTGCTCCTCAGTGGGGCAGGGGCAGCTGCAGAGGCTTCACGGGGAGGTCCTGGCGCCCCCTTGCCCGGGCCCACCCTTGGCCTCCAGCCCCTTCCTGCCTCAGGCCTGAGCATGCTGCTCCAGTGCGACCGGAGGGCAGCGAGCTCACTTGGCGTGGGGAGGAAGAAGACGGACCCAGCTCACTCTTCCCCCCCATGTTCACTTCTAGTGATTTCTGACATTTTTATTTTGAAATCACTTCCAAAAATGTATTTATTTATTTGGAAGGCAAAGCGAAAGATACAGGGAAGAGAGAGACTAAGAAAGAGAGATCTTCCATCTACTGGTTCATTCCCTAAATAACAATAGTAGGGCTGGGCCAGGCCAAAACCAGAAGCCAGTAGCTTCACTCGGGTCTCCAACATGGGCACGTGGACCTGAGCATTGGGCCATGTTCTGCTTTCCCAGGAGTATTAGCAAGGAACTGGACAGTAAGTATAGGAGCTGGGACTTGAACCAGTGTCCAAAGGGATGCCGGCACTCCATGCCCCGAAGATGACTTATAGACGGAGTATAAAGTGCTTTCCTGCCCACTCTGCCACCTTACCTAAGTTTAGCACAGTTATCCCAAAGAAGGGAAAGCTAGTACAGTCCTCTTGGCTAACTCCCAGCCTGTCTGTGGAGTTCACTCATTTTCCCACCCAAGTCCCTCCTCCCTTCCCGATTCCAGCTCAGGGGCCCACAGTTTGGCCATCTGGGCCTCCTCGGCCATCCTTGCTCCTCTTGGTCTTGCCATGGCGATCTGTCCAGTGTCGATGGTCTCACATCTCTGTGTGCCCCTGAGCAGTGTCTGCATGCAATGAGCCTGCTGCAGCATGTTCTCAGCTCAGCAGCACAGGTTATGGGCCCACTTGGCTGGGACCCCAGAGCTTGTGTTGAAAGTGGAAATGGCTGGATTTACCCATTTTAAAATGACTGTTTTTCTTCTCTTAGTCAAAAGTATATTGAGGGAGACCCTCTGAAACCAGGCAAACGTTTTATTATTACTCAAGCTCTTCCCACTGATTTTGGCATCCTTTTGGGGTCTTAGTAATGATTCTAATTGTGCTTCCAAACGGCAACTTTCAGTTCCTGCCTGCCTTGTGTATCTGTGTGTCGAATGGCTTCTTAACTGACCACTGGCACTAGCAGGGTAGTTTGTCAGTACTCACTTAAGTGACACTTATTAGGCACCTGCTGTGTTCTAACATCTGCTAAATTGTACCCACTCCCATAGGATACAGAAATGACAAAACAGAAGAAAATCTTAGTCCTTGGTGAGCAGGCAGAAAAGGTGACAAGCATAAGAAATTAGCGTGGAAGATTAGGAGGTAGTAGAGAAACTGGAGCAGCGTGAGGGCCCTACTGAATACTGAAGCAAAGTACAGCCTGTCGTGTTTGCTTCCTCTCAGGAATGAGACTCTCGCACCCCCTGGCATGTCGTGTTTGCCCACACGCACTGCTGTGGGGAGAGCGCAGAGCCACAGGTTGTAGAAGACAGGTCATGATGCTGTAGCCAAGCTCTGGGCCTCCTCTTGCCCCCGCAGGGTTTACCTTAAACTCGGCAGTTCTGTACCGCAGTCAGCCGGCCGCCCACGGGACACCCAGGGGCCATTCCCATCCCATGCTGGGAAGTCTTCCCACAGGCAGGAGGTTCAGGGAGAGGTTGACATCCTGGCGGCAGGCCTCAGTCTGCCACAGACAGCAATGGCACGTGGACTCCGCTCCTCCTTAGGACTTGAGAGACGAGGGAGTGCCATGTTTTCCTTCAGCCAGTGAAGAAATGGAGCTAGGACACTTGGCTTTGGGCTGGGGTCATATTGTTCCTCATATGGGAGGATCCCACATCAGCACACACACACACACAAGGCTTCAGGAGCCCCTCCCGGTGCTGGCCACTGAATACCCATTGCTTCTCTGTTGCAGGTGGTCAACCGAGGGGACCCCTACCCTCAGGAGGTGGGTGCCACTGTGCACAGAGTCATGGAAAGGCTGGGTTACTCCAACCCCTACCGGCTGGTTTGGCAGTCCAAGGTAGGTGACTCCCCCACGTCTGCCACCAGCCAGCTCCCTCAGAAAGCCCATTGGAGGACTTGGTTGTAAAGTCGTTGGATTCAGCTCTCCTGGCACACAGGCTGTTCTGTAGCCTGATTGTTTGCCGTGGGCAGAAAGCACTCTGCCATCAGGTCAGGTGGAAGGGGAAATCAAGTGATCAGTTGGGCTCCAGTGGTTTAAGATTTCATTTTCAGTTGTAATGCCAGAAGCCATTACTTATTTGTATTTGAGCCATCTTCTGCAAGATGTTAGAACCCAACCAAGTGGGTGCAAGCGTGGCTGCTGTCCCTGCTGGGCTCGTGTGCATGCGTAGTGGAGGGCAGTGGTGAGCAGAAGGCTTTCTGCGAGAATAGTCCATTGACACCAGCATTCTCCTTTCCTAGGTGGGTCCCATGTCCTGGCTGGGGCCTCAAACAGACGAGACCATCAAAGGGTTGTGTGAGCGGGGGAGGAAGAACATCCTTCTGGTCCCCATAGCCTTTACCAGTGACCACATCGAAACACTGTACGAGCTGGACATCGAATACTCGCAGGTGCTAGCCAGTGAGGTGAGTGCACCTGTCTGGCTTGTTTAAAAGGACGTTTCCTCTGCAGCTATCCGATGGTATCATTCCCAGACGTCGTTTACTGTATGTGTGTGTCCTGTGTCCTTGTCTGTGTAATAGTCTTTGGTGATAATCTCAGCCCATCTCAGCAGTGGGACGGACGTTTGCCCCTCTGGGTCACTCTGGTCAGCAAGGGACATTTACACTTCTGGATCACCCTGGTCAGCATCATAGTGTGTTGTTTGCATCACTGTGATGCCTGGATGTAGCAATGCCTACATTCCTTTAAGGCAAGACTGGGCCTCATCAGTTTGGAGACAAAACATTTTGTCCTGTCTCCTTTTCTTTGCCTAAGTTGAGCGTGTCCCCTTTTCCTTAGGACTATTCCACTGCTCCTCTTTGGGTCAAGGCAGATAGGAGGCATTGTCATTTAGGAGAAGAGCACGGGATGAACACGGAAGTGGCGTGTGATGATTTCCTTGACCTATTTTACGCACTCACTTAATGAGCTGCTTACAACCGTGTGGTGATCAATCTAGTTATTGAAGTCACAGACACCATATCCTGGGTGTCTTGTAATGCAGGATGGATGCGGATTCTCAGAGAGACTAGAGGAAAACTACTGCTCACCTCTCAGGGCCTCTGGGGGTCAGTCTGAAATCTGTGTCCCATTTGCAGCTTTGTGTCTGTGTCAGTATGTCTGTCTCATCTATCAGGATTCCTGGCTTGGATCTTTCCAAACATGATGATAGAAGCCTGGCCTCAGAGAATGCTGTATCCTCTCTGGGACAGGGTGGCAGGTGCAAGATAAAGGGGGGAGACAGTGGATGGGAGGTGCAAGTGAGGCAGTCTCCAACCTCCAAGTCTGTGTGTGCACACCAGTTATCAATCAGACAGTGAGGAAGTTGGGGAGTCCTGAAATTACTTGTTGGTGGGTCTGATGAAGGGTTTGCAGGCCTGTTGTAATTGGCTACGGTGAGGTTACAGTGATGCCTCCGGGTTTCACTTAATGATGCCTGCTGTATCCCATCCTGACCTTGGCTAAGTGAGCTTGCTGAGACTTCAGTGAAACTCCATACCAGTGCTTGGGAGATGAAGTGTTGTCTGTCCTGAGTGACAGTGCACATTCATCCATCTTACTGTGCCCAGGTCATTCTTGAGCAGTCAAAGCAAGTATTAGTGATGAATAAATTAATCCACATAGCAAAGAAAACCACCCAGCCACAATCTATTTTATTATTTTAATGGGAGACTGTAGTGTGTTTAAAACTGCTGCTGAACTCTAAAAAGTTCTTTGATTTCCTCCTCCCCTATAGAAAAAATGTATTACTTTTTGATCATGAAAACAATAAAGATCTTAGCCAGTTCAGAAGATAGCAGACACCCAGGAGCTTACCCTTAGAGCTAACATCTGTGAAGGTTTTGGTAAAAATAGATCTTATCTCGCCAAATGTGTGTCTATTTTAATAGAAATGGGATTGTCACACCTGTGTAACAAAATGATGTTTTTAAAAAGATTTTTCATTTTCCACAATGGCTGGAGCTAGACCATCCTGAAGCCGGGAGCTTCTCTTGGGTCTCCCACATTTGGGCACTTGGCCCATGCTTTGCTGCTTTTCTAGGCCAGAAGCAGGAGGCTGGAGCAGAATTGGAGCAAATGGGACTCAAACTGGAGCTCCTCAGCTGGTGGCGTGGGTAAAGGATCAGCTTGATACGCCACAGCACTGGGCCCTACAAAATGATATTTTATCCATGATGTTTTGCAGTCTTTTTTTTTAAGATTTATTTATTTTCATTGGAAAGTCAGATTTACAGAGAGAAGGAAAGACAGAGAGAAAGATCTCCCATCCACTGGTTCACTCCCCAAATGACCACAGTGGCCAGAGCTGAGCCTGTCCGAAGCCAGGAACCAGGAGCATCTTCTGGGTCTCCCACGCAGGTGCAGGGTCCCAAGGCTTTGGCCTGTCCTCGACTGCTTTCCCAGGCCACAGGCAGAGAGAAGGGAAGTGGAGCAGTCGGTATTAGAACTGGCACCCATATGGGAATTCAGTGCATGTAAGGCAAGTACTTTGACCCACTAGGCCAGGCCCCTTTTATTCTTTCTTAAAGATGCACAATGGATCCTAATCAATAAATGCACTTGGATCTACATGATGATTTAAAAAAGCATGACTCATGTATGTTTAAGATATTTCCAATTTTTAAGATTATTTTTAGTTGATATATAGAAATGGTAGAGTTGTGTGACGTTTCCCACATGCATAGACTACGTAAAGCCCATCAGGATAGCTGTCTCTTCAGATTTGTAGCATTTCTGCATAGCAAGAACATTCGGAGTCCTTTTAGAGAAACAGGCAGTGCATTCTCCTTGTCTGTGTGCCCCCAGAGAAGAGCCCACTGAGGGGGCTGTCATCACTGTGTTCCAACTGCTTCATCTGGGCGGATTCGCAGGAGTGTAGTGTCATGTTCACTGCCCTGCCCCAGAGTGCCTCTAGCAGTGTACTGGTCAGTGTTGGACAGGACCCCGTGCCAACACTGGGGGTCTTGTTGTGACTAACGCTTCTGTGACTGTTGGAATCCAGCCTCGTCCTTAGTTGAGACCCAAGGTTTGGCTGAACCTCAGCCTTGTGCCTGCCAGGTATGCACGCCCCCTGATGTTAGTGCTAATTGGCAAGAAAGGAAGAGGCCAGATCCTAACTACCTGCATAATTGTAGTTAGACAGTTTTTACTTATTCACATGATAGTTAACTTGATATTTTTAGAGAATGGAAGGTACTGAAATGATCCTCAGGTTTTTACCAAATTTTTTTCTTACATTTTTCTCTGTTAGAAAACAGTTAACAACCCACCTCTGAATTGGATCCATTCGAAGTTCAATATACATTTGATGATCCACAGATTAATTTACTTCACTTCGCACTTGGGAATTAAAGCAAGTAGGAAAGCTGGCTTAATTAAGGCAGTATTCTACCTAGAGTCCGGACAGGTGTATTCCAGAAGAGTCAACTGAAGAACAGTGCTGGGCAGATTTAAATGACTTGAGGATTCCATCAAATACTGCCTAGAAGCAGACCAGGCATGGGCAGGTCAGGGGCCAGGGGAAGGCCACAGAAGCTGGGCCAGCAGCTGCCGGTCAGCGGGCAGTCCAGTGCTCTGGGCTGGCCGAGCCTTGTCCTTGGAGAACATTCTGTGAACATCGAAGCCAGCCTTGACTTGTGTGAATGTGTTGGTGTGTGTTGGGGTTTTTGTAGTATTTTCTCTAGGAAAAAATAAATAAATAAGAACCACAAAACAAAAAGAAAATAACGTGTGTCTTGTTTTTCCTCCCTTTTCTCATTTGATTCAGTGTGGAGTGGAAAACATCAGAAGAGCAGAGTCTCTTAATGGAAATCCGCTGTTCTCCAAGGTACCTCTGGTGCTACAACCGTTTTAGTAGAACACGCCAGCGAGTAATCCTCTGAGAAGCTCCTGCGGAATATTGGTTTTCTCTTATATGAGAACATTTGGAGTTCCAATTAATTACAAAAATAAAATCGAATTCCTCATCTGCGCTCTCTGTTTCCTTTTGAGAGCCCCTATTTTCTTATTTCTACCCACCTGTAACTCGGTCTGATTTAAAATCTGCTTCTCAGAGGAGAGGCTGAGTGGGTGAACAGGGGGATCCTGTCTCCCAAATGCCTCTGAACTTTGTCCAGGCTGAAGATTCTCGGGAAGGCCAGACTCAGTGGAAAGCTTCCCAGCTGTGGCAGGCAGTGCTGAGGGCGGGTCGGGGCAGCCACCCCTGGCCTCTGATGCGCTTCTGCTCTGTCTTCCAGGCCCTGGCTGACTTGGTGCATGCGCACATGCAGTCCAACGAGCTGTGCTCCAAGCAGTTGACCCTGGGCTGCCCACTCTGCGTGAATCCCATCTGCAGAGAGACCAAGGCCTTCTTCACCAACCAGCAGCTGTGACCCTGTTGACCGGGGCCCTTTCCACATATCACGGAAGTGTTACCTGCACAACATGGAAGTCACGTGACATGTGCCGGGGGGGGTCCAAAGAAAGTTCACGGGAAATGTCTGTTACAAAACTATGCATAGGATTCTGAGCCTTGTCTTTGTTCCAAAGCAAACCCAATTCCCTTTTTCCATGGGGTGCCCTCACCCATTTCTAGAGGGACTGACTCTGAAATTGTTACTGAAGGGTTCCGGGTTTTGTCATTCTCCCCAGGAAGCCTTTGTGTTCCCTCCCTTTGGGAATAGTTACTCCTTTGAAGTGGAAAGAATTATCCTCTGCCCAACACGCCTATCTTAAATACAAATTTTACTCTTTTGATCCTAAACCACCTGCCCAGAGAGTGCTCTATGTGGGCTATTAGTGTGACTGGGATCTGTTTATAGCCATGTACAGCTAGTTGTACTCTTAGGAGCGAATGTAACTGGGTTTATGAAATGTAGCTTGACAAAGAACCTAATGGATCTTGTCCTAGGCCCAGGACAGATGGAAGCTGGGATATTCATTGGTCAAGTTGGCACCCCTTCCTCACCCTAGAATGGAATCAAGTACAGAGTTTAGAGGCATTCTGTGGCTGTGCTGGCATGTGAGGCTGGTCACCATGCTGGCCGCTCATGCCTTGGTGGAAGTCCAGTGTCCAGCGATGGGGGCTTCCATCAGCATTTCCCATCCCCAACAACAGCATTGTTGGGAAACACTCCACAGAGGACTTGGCCTCCCAGTCCTGGCAGCCTTTCCAGCCAGTGACTTCTAGATCTGACTGCCTTGTCTCATTTCTGCACATTGGTTCATGAATTATCTTATGGCATCAACTACATTTTGTAACCTTGAATTCTTTGTTTATACATTTTCATTATGAAGATTACACAGCCATATGGCAGAACATTTAAGAAATCCAGAACAGAAATACAACTATTCAAATGCAAGTCTTTGCATTACTGGGTTTCCTGTGAGTTTTTCCCTGTGGCTATTTTCAATGTCATTATCACCTTCTAACAAATGTAAAAATAATCCCAGATCAGAATTCAATCTTCTATATTTGGATTTAAATGGATTAAAAGTCTCTGACGGATCCGTGATGCATTTGTAATGATCTCTTTCATACGAGCCATGAAACTTTGTTCTTCCAACGAGCATTTCTTTGATTCTGTGTTTTTGAAAAGCGTGTTTGTAAAGTGGAAGAGTCAGGGGATTCAGAGGTGTTCGATACTCAGGATTTACCATTGATAATATTATGAAATCGTTAAGGTGTGTTAGCCAGTCTTACTCATGCTGTCTGTCCCCGAGCCTGGTTCCTTGGGGGTCAGGAACCGCATCGTGTGAGCCGTCACCACCACTTCCCGGGGTCTGTGGGAGCCGGAGCTTGGAGTGCCACGCAGGCACGCTGGTGCAGATGAGGGTGTCATAGCTAATGCCGCGAGCACTAGGCTAAATGACCTCCCTCTGTCAACATGACTAAGTAGAAGGAATTTACTTGTGCAAGACAGGAAGTGTGTCATCTGCTTGGGTTGATAGTTTGCCTATATTTATCAGTGCCTTTCCGACTGGCTCACATATACATTGCATCCCTGTCCCCTATTGGCTTTTCTATTAGGTTATATTTCTAGATACAAGGCACAGGTACTCTAGAATTGAACTCTGCTTTCCAAACCCTTTGTGGGAATTAGGCTCAGAGGAGATGGAGGGTCCAGGTAATGCTGGAGGGCAGGTTCTCTAGCAGCCTTTCCCTCCTGTGGACACTCGTTGCCGGACTGTGGCGCTTCAGCCCTTTGCGCTATGGCCATGTTGCAGGTGAGTCCAGCTCAGGAGCCCCTGCTAGCGTTTTTGAAGCCCCCCATGTGCTATGGGAACTGAGAGTTGGCAGTGACTGGGCCACCTGGAGTGTTATGTTCTGATGGATACAGAGTCAGGAGTACAGACCCCACCCATGTGCTTGTTGCTGTAGGAAGCTTTATGCTTGACTGCAGAGGGGTCCTACAGGAGCATCTGGCAGGAGAGACTCTTCTCAGAGCTAACAGTGTTTGAGAAGTGTTTTGCTGCATGTCCACCATCACTTGTTCTGTATGGACAAGCTGGTTAGCTAGTATTCACGGCAGAGTCGGCATAGACAACGGAGCTTTGAATCCTCCAGGCTGTCCACCTCACCCCTGTCCGATGCCAGGGACCATCCACAGTCCTTCAGTGATGTGAAGTCATTGGCGCTTCCGGTTGGTATGAAAAACAGACCTGTTTCTTCTTCTGACTTTGTTTTAGGCAAAATACACAGACATGGAGGTCACGTAGCACGGTGGTTGTTGCATTCACTTTCCTCATCTATTCTGTGCTCATCGATTAATCAGCTCCTAAGTAGAAGCCATGGCCTGTTGGGAAAACCTTGCTCCGTGTGATGCCATGGTTGCTTACCCAAACTCTGACTCTTAAGGGGCAGAGGACAGGCCCCTCCTCCACCTGGCTGGGGCCAGTAGTGAGACCTGCAGCCTGCCCAGGCTGGGCAGCTGGTCACCTGGTACCCACAGACTTGCAGCATGGCTGTTTCTCCCTGCATGGGGTGGGAAGGGCGCGGAAGGTGAGGGAGGTAGGGGTGCAGGTGGAACCCCCTTGGCAGTTGCAGCTGGGACAGAATTGTAGCTAACAGCCATAAGGACAGGAGGCCGTGTGTGTGTGTGGGGGGGGTGCGTGTCCCAGCTTCTCTCACCACCTGCCTCACCGGAAAGTCCTCCTCTGTGAGAATCCTGAGGATGCCACAGGGATGTGCTTCCCAAGTGGTGGGCATGGGAAACTTGCTGGAGATGTCAGCAGCAGGAGAGGGAGAATTCTGTGTTGACCTGAACCAGTTAAGATGATTCACTTCCTCATCAAGGGGGGACTTCCTCAGGTGACAGAAGCTAACCATTTCATTATTTCTAAAAAAGGCAAAACTGCAGATGTCACTGACAGGGGTTTTGTACTCACAAGGCTGCTCAGTAACTTCTCCCAGTTCAGGTCACTTTCAGTGACACTGAAATTTCATTTCACAGTAGCTAACCACAGTATGTTTAATATGAGATGGACGATAATGCAGGACAGCACAGGCAACATGCACTCATTGCTACTCATCCTACTTGCAGCAGGTCCTGGTGTCATAATTGTGTTTCAGTTTTATAGGCCTTTCTCAAACATCCCCAGTTGATTGAACAGTCATGCTTGGAAACATTTCCGTATTTTCTTCCTGCCAGGTTTCCTCCAGCCAGGTGAGTGACGTGTGGTTATCGTGTGATTTTTGACATAAAAGCTGTTTCCTGTTGGGATGCCACGTGTGAAGCTCTATGAGAGCAGTTTCGAAAGGTCACAGACCTTAAACAATGTTTATTTGGTGCAAAAAAAGTTTGAAACCAATGTACAGAGTTTTCATAACACATACTTCCTGGGAACATCCTGCAGCCTCTGGTGTTGGTTGAATGACATAGCCATGGCCAGCAAGAGCAGGTGCTGCTCCCGAGTGCAGCCAAAGTTCCCTGCTTGCCAGGGGCTGACCAAAGAGGAGCCTCCTCACCCAGGGTGGAGGACGGCTCCCTCGGAGGACACACTCCTAGTGCTCCAAGGTCCCTAGAGAGGAAGAAATGCATCTGCTTTGATGTGGGAATCTTATTAAGCCTTCCTATAGGGAAAAGGAAGTGCACAACAAATGTGCTCCTGCTAGCCGCTCTCTGACAATATTCTTTGATAGTACTGGCCTATTTGTTTTCAGCTGAAATCATTAGCTTCTATTTTTAGTATAGCAACAGCTATTGGCTAAATTTGTCTACAGCAGGCCATTAGGCTATTGGAATTAAAATCACTTTTGGAAAAAAAAGCCTGGTTGGAGTCTTTGTATGAAGCCCATGGGTTCAACCTGAGTACTGTTTCTGGTCCTTGCAAGCTGAATTTTCATTTCTAAACACCCACTCTTAGCAGCCCATTCCCAAAATGGAACCCACAAGCTAAATTCCAGTCTTCCTTAGGGGCCAAATCTCTGCCACCTGTCATGTTAAGAAATAGTGGATTTGGGGCCCAGCGTAGTAGCCTAAAATCCTCACCTTACACACACCAGGATCCCATGTGGGCGCCAGTTCTAATCCCAGCGGCCCTGCTTCCCATGCAGTTTCCTGCTTGTGGCCTGGGAAAGCAGTCGAGGACGGCCCAAAGCCTTGGACCCTGCACCTGTGTGGGAGACCCGGAGGAAGCTCCTGGCTCCTGGCTTTAGATCGGCGCAGCACTGACCATTGCAGCCACTTGGGGAGTGAATCATCGGACAGAAAATCTTCCTCTCTGTCTCTGCTCTTCTCTATATATCTGACTTTCTAATAAAAAGAAATCTTTTTAAAAAAATAGTGGATTTTGTACAGAGTGTGTGTAGTAATCTGCATTTTTACCCTTTTTATTTAGAAAGAATAGTTTCTACATGTACAGTGGAATCCACACTGGCTTGGAAGATGATTCCAAATTTCAGATTGTTAAGCAAAACAATCACAAAAAATGATACATATTATAATGGGATTATTATTTAAGGCCTTTGCTTCCTGCTCACTTACTATGTATGTTGCTGTTGGCTGATCTGGATTAGAGAAAGCAGTGGTAAAATGTTACCTGCACAGTTTAAAAGTTGTCTCAGTAGCCATCCCAGTGTGAAAAGCACATTTACAAAGAACTGCAACTGTTGGAGAACTTTGATCCAGTCCATCCAGTGAGGCCGGGACTTAGAAGGTGTATCATGTCTGCAGCACTTGCTGATCAGTGGCACCCGTAGGTTTGCCACAGATAGTAAGTACTTGGTAGAAATCTGCAAAAGCGTTCTTTGCGATTCAGTTGATTTTGTGGAATTGACAGTGAAGAGTACTGTGCATTTTATTCTTACTTATAAATTGTGTGTTCCACATCAGATGCATGTGGAAAGGTTGGGTCACCGGTTGGTGTTCGTTTCCCTTCCACTGTTGCTGCAAAGGGCTCATCACTCGGTTCGTGGAGAGGATTTATGCTTGAATTGCTGTCCATTTTCATTGTGTACAAGAAGCTCTCTATATTCACGGAAAATGGAATTAATGATAAGGTCATTGGCGCAAAGTATTTGAGATCTGTGTGTAGTTATTTCATAATACAGATTTTCCATGAACCTCAAAAAATGTTTATTTCCATCTGTTTGAAAGAACATGAGAGAGCTAGGGAAAGACAGAGCTAGGGAGAGGAAGGGAGATCTTGCATTCACTAGTTCTCTCCCCAAATGCCTGCAGTAGCCAAGATTAGCAGTCAGAACCGAGAACTCCATCTGTGTCTCCTACGTGTGTGGTAAGGGTCCAAGCACCTGGGCCTTCGTCTGCCTCCTAGAATATGCTAGCAGGAAGCTGGTAGAAAACAGAGTCGCCAGGGCTTGAAGTGGCCTTGATACTGGCAGCCCAACAAATGGCTTAACCTGCTGTGCTATAATACCTATCTGGGGAGTGAACCACTGCATGGAAATCTCTCTGTATCTTTCTTTCTGTAACACTGAATTTCAAATAAAAACATCTTTAAAAATTTTTTTTTTAATTTTATGATACGATTCCATGGGCTCTGGGATTTCCCTTATTCCCCTCCCAAAGATTCCCTCCACCTCCCTGGCTTCCCCTATATTATTATAATTGTATAGTCCTTCATAAGCAGTCATAAGTCCATTATTCTGCTATTTAAGTGTATCCTGACATTGCAGGTATGGACAATGGCAGAAAACCCAGCATCCTATTGTCAAGATATAGATAACAGTTTCATTGGGAGTTCATCTTTGATTTGGAAATAGAGATGCATACTGCATTGTATCTTCACATCTGGATATGATAGTCTCCATTACACAGTTTCTACACATTCCCTTAAATGAGAAGCCATAAGACAAAATCAATAACAGGAATAAAGTTAAATTAACAACAATATGAAGTTAAATAACATGCTATAAATACTTTCAAAATAAATTAGCCTGCTATACAGATTAATTTAATTTTGAGACTCACCTGCCATTGCCTTGGCAGGACCAGAACAAATAATTTTGTGAACCTTATATGACCTGTGTAGTTCTGACATTGTCCA